CTCAGCCGAGAAGAATGTTTCAAGTAAGAGCACGAAGTCTTTTTTCTTCATGTTTGATCCTTCGCCATTCCTTATGAATCGACCATAAGATGAAGCGAAGGATCGGCGAACTGTTGCGGCCCCTGAGGTACTGCAATACTTACTTCGCTGGCAGTCGCGAGCCGGCGAAGTAAGTTGGTCAGATCGGGTTCGATCGCCGCCGAATCGACGCGCTTGCCTACCCATCGTGAGGAGTCCTATCGGCGACAACAAAGGCCAAGGCCGCGTCGTTCTTGCTTTGCTGCCGCCGCTGGGATGGCTGATGCCAAACGCTGCAGTAAGCCCTTCTGCCTGTCGATGGATGCTATTGTCGTGTTTTCGATACCTACCGGCGGCGCACCAGGAAAGAAGCCGCGGCCAATAGCCGCTATTGGTAGAAGCTACAGAAACCACTGACAGCGTTGATGCTGCTTCTAAAAGGAGCTGGTGCGGCCATTACAAAAAGGAGCAGGGCCTTGAAACCTTGCGTTCATCTCTGCCCGCTGGAGGTCGGTCGGTCGCTCGCTTGCTCGCTCGCTCACTCACTCGCACACTCGGTCTGTCGATCGACAGACGGACGGACTAACACAAGAGGTGCTCTTGCCTGCGGACGCGATGGTCATATCGGCCGGCAGAACGAAGCAGAAGAGAATCGTCAGATCGCATCGGATCAGATCTAAGCGCTAGAATGAAAAGACGATTGGCGGCAAGAGCCTATACTGAGACCCTGAACGATCTGCTTGCCGGCTCAGAAAGCTGTTGTGTAGAACTTCTGTGGTTAGCCGCGCTGATGAGAGCCGAGCCCCGATCATGTCAGATCTGTTCTGCTGTTTCTAGCTGATCCAGCTTGCAGAGCCAGATAGATACACGCGAAGCAGATTCAACTCTAACGCGAAGATGATGAGCGGCGGCTTGACTGACCCGGCTGGCTGGCTGGCTGGCTGGCTGGTTGACCGAATCAACTCAACGTGGGTAGTAAAAGTAGTAATAGTAGTAGTAGAAAAAGCCCGACTTCAGCTGCCTGGTCGTCCGCTGGTTTCACATCGGACCGAAAACCAAATGGCAGCCACGGGCACGACGTTATTTCCTGCACAGGGCGGCTTGTGTAGTGCCAAGTCGTAATTGGGCTCGCGTTAATGATGGCGACAGAGAATAAAGACCGTCCTGCACACGAAAAGGAAGCGCAGAACAGGCCAAACAGGAAGAGCGCGCGGGACTGACGGAGAGGGGGAAAATTCGCAAGACCATCGTGCATCGCGTATTGCCGCTGCGGGACGGCCGAACAACTAGTTGGACACTATTAGTACGATGACGCTACAAAGAGCGACACAAAAAGGGACCCGTGCCGCGGATTTGGGTAAAAAGAGGATCTAGAAGTCAACCGTATCGGTCAAAGGTAATTATGCAGTCGTGGTATGGATAACATAGGCAGAAGAAAGCGTTCGGGATTCGTCGAACAAACTAAACACTGTCGTTCACGTAATTGTGCACGCACGTTTTCTGTAAAGAAAGGACGAAGCAGCATCCATATACGAACGTGTAACAACAAGATCTTTCCTCTGGAACTACAGAGCCATCGCCACATTAGGGAATTAAACATCTACTATATCCCAGTGCCCGCTCTCTGCATTCGCAAGCGTTACTATTGCTAGCGAAAGGTTGAAGTCTCGTTCTATAAAGGAAAAATTTCAAAGCTCCCATGCTAGCGCCGGTCCCACTAATATTGGCTCGCTTCCATCCTATTAAAATTCGCTCTACCCATATGGTCGTATCTGATACCGAAAGCTAGCTTCGCGCGCCCTCTATCGGCTGCAGAATCATTTCGGGGTAGCATCGGTTTTATCATCTCCGTCGGACCAGAAGACAGTAAAGGGCGCCAGCCTACCTGTGAAAGAAGGCTGAGTGCGGCGAACATGAAATGAAAACGGCCTACCCATCTCGCCTATCGAAGATATACGGCCGTTGCAGGAAACAGCTAGCTTTGTCGGCGGTAACTGCTTTTGCCGCTGCTGCCGCGAGTCCCTTCTGTCGGACCTGTTAGTTGTCATCTTCTTTTGTCGGGTCGACGATGCCGACCGTCGTTACTACCGCTGCTGACGCATGGACTAGTGTGGTCACAGGCGTAATTTTGACGGCAGGCCGCTCGGTCTATCGGCGATCACCCACACAGCAGGTGGACGTGGTGCACGCCCGCCTGCCTGCCTGCCTGCCTGTCTAAGTAGAGATATGCAGATCTTGGCGGCCACCGCCGCTGTCGTCGGATATGGCCGACAGCGGCGGCGATCTATAGCAACGAATCAACTGTATAGGACCGTAGATGTGAGGCGGCCGCTCCAACAAGCGGCGGCGGTTACATGAGTCAACTAAGCGCTATACTAGCAGGAACGACATTGAATAGAGACAAGCGTACATACCAAATAACGAATAAGTAGAACTTATATATGGTAGAGAATTCTTGGAGCGCTTTTCTCACTCATGGAATACGCACACGCTTCACCCGTACCATAATAGATATGTTCTGTTCGCAGACCTCCCCCCGAAGATCGTGCAAGCCCACGTGCTATGAGCTGTTCTTTATTGTGACCAAAGTCGGCACCGCGAGGAAACATATATTTGTCATTTGTGCAGCAGCACCATTCTCAGGACCCTGAGATATTTATTAGGTCGAAATTATAACTAGTAATGGTTCTTTTTTTGATTTTCGGCGTATATCGCCGTTTTGCTATTAGGGAGACTATTTTTTCTCTTAGCGAAAATAGTTGATAGGAAATAAGATTGAATTTTTTAATTCTTTACGATGACGTAATTCATTTATGAAGAACTTGCCCGTTTAGTCCCATAGAACGAGGATTCGTTCAGTGGATCTGAGGGTGTAATTAACCTCGTCAGCTTAATCTCATTAGCGAAGTCATAAACCTATTTACGTTAACATTAGAGGAAAAACGAATAGGAACGCGAAGTTGCCTAATGCCGAACAGTTTACCTGACATCTGCAAATGAGAAACTATAGTATCTATGTGGCCGCGGACTAAAAAAATTTTGCAACCAGCATTGTTGATCTGATTATAGAAAATCGATAGGTACTTAGGCATCCTCTGTAATATTTCGTAACCTATTCTACCTCTTTTTCGAACGATTTCGAATTCGCGGCTGATCCGCAGCCCCTATTTCATGTGTGTATTGTATCGTTCTGAATCTGAACTGTGAGGCACTACCACGGAAATCATTCTAGAGAGGAGCCCGCGACATGGGCATGCGCACCCACTCAGATCCCACCGGAACCCGCGAAGAGCAGGTATAGATTGCGGAGTGTCAACCTTGTCCCGAAATACGATAAGTCATGTCCTTTCTATCGGTTGTTGGCTATGCGTTCTGCTATATCAGTGAGATATGGATTTACAATGTCTGTTCCTCCTTTGCGACGAGTCGTACAAGACGTATTGCCTCTTACTATGCAAATGTTATCCCGTATGCAAAAATCAATGTTTTCTACGCACAGATACGATCGCTACCACTACTATTCCAGGTGGAATGAGCAATTCGAGAACTTTTTAATACAATTTTTTTTTACTTTTAACGCGAATTTAATTCGTCCCAGAGTTAAGCTAACGCAGTATGCAGAGCGCGCTACCGAATCAGCCAATATGATTGAACTTGGCATTCCCGTTCATTTTCTATATATCACAGAGGTAAACATCTTGAACTTTTACGTCCAGTACCGTCTTATTTGAGCGTCTCCATACAGCCAGCCCTTCCCGACACTAAACGCTACGCTTACGCTCAAATCTAGATCAGCTCAAGCGTACCCAAGTTTAGCAGACGAACAGGCTATTGCCAAGGATATATCAAATAAGCATAGAGTTTGTGAGCCATTTATGTCTCATATAATCCGCCAGACGCTAGCATAATCCTCTGATCAATAGAAACTCCACGTCATTTTCACCGCAGTATGCTGATTCGTTAACGTATTTCTCTCTGGCTTGCCCTATTCTATTTGAATAAGTTTTTCCGAGGTGACGTGTCGCCAGCGCGCACCCGAAGCGCATAATAGCACACCGTTCGTCGTACATCTCTCTCTGTGGGATTCTCCTAGTTCTGCCTAATTGTTTGCTGGCTATCTTTGCTACAATGGTCCCGTAAAATGCGCTGTTCAGATATGTCCGCCGTGTCTTCAACACCGATCCATATATACGTGTTCGCTTTTGTATCTGTGTCGCTGGGTGTCTGGGTGTGTGGGTCTGTGCACGTATGTACATATGTATATAGCCCCGCTTCGTTCTGCCCAACTTCTTTTTCCTCTTTAACCACCATTCGACCCGGTACGCTTCGGTTGCCGCATTGCTAGAGAACTTTATTACGGAAGCGACATATAGTGAAAAGCAAAAGCCCTATCGACGTTGAAGTAGCATTCGACAGGTATCTACCGTCATTGCACTATACCCCTCTGAGATGATTAGAGTAACCTGTTTTAACGCAACGAAGACGAACACATACAGATAATACGCAGGTAGCCCATGCCCGATCGACACGTACGACCAGCATTGGCTTGAATTTTCGAAGTCATCCGATTAATGGTGAAGCCTCATGCTCGATCGCGATCTGTTGCTGTTGAGATCGCTTGATCCGGGCCGCGTTTACTACCTCCCGTCAGCTCTCGCTACTTTTGCTTTTCGGCTCCACATCAAAACCGGCTTTACGGCCGCAACCTTCAGGATTGCCTGCCTCCGATTGTAAGCGCCGATGCCGCCGGGGGCGGTAATTGCCGCGCTCTTCGATCAGTGTCTCTGTTTCGATCTCTTGCATCGGTAGTAGTAGCAGCATTCTTCATTTCGGCTCTTTCTAACTCCTCTGTACGCTGCTGTTGCCGCCCTTTCCAAGCTTGGGGGCAAGGGACCTCCGATGCCCTCTCCCGTTGGCGCGTTTCTTTGAAGCTCGATACTTCTTCGGCTCGCTAAATAGACGACGCTCAAGAAGGACGAAACGACATCGGACAGGACTCATGCTAAGAGACTATATAGATGATTGCCTCACTCGTGTGCTCGCGTTGCAGCTTGTGACACCTCGAAACTATCGAAATCACACTGGAGAATAGCTTTAGCAAGCTGAACGTTCATTCAGCAGGGTGGTAGTAAATGTATAAGTAAGAACAGTGTCAATGGTCGGGCCTATCCAGTCATCGGCATGGAGTACCAGTAAAGAGTACGCTCCACAGCAAAAGCAAGCACATCTTGGAAGCGTATTGGAATTTTGTAAGAGCTCGCTGGATTTCCTGTACGGTTCCTGTACATTCCAGATTCGGGAGAGTGTTTGCTAAATTTATTGCTACAAGATAAGAAAAACTATATGGACATAAAGCGCAGAGGTTCAGTATGATGTGAATCTGTGTGCGTGTTTGTTTGTGTTAGTGTGTCTGTGTGTGCGCGTGCGTGCGTATGTGTGTGCGTGTGTGCCTGTGTGTGCGTGCGTGCGTGCGTGCGTGCGCGCGCCCTAATAGTTAACGGATTGCGAATTGCGTTGCATTAGCGTAACAAACGAGTTTTTTTCTGATAGCTTTCAATGAATGCATTAGTTTTCGTTGGGAACCCAATGACGCTGACCGGCAGAGTACCTCCCTTTGACACATAGAACTATTGTGTCACGCCCGAAGCTACATATAGAACCTGGCAGCCTAGACCACACGGATAAAAGGCACTGGACGGAGTGCATAACAATCAGCTATGCTAACAACGATAACGGTTCGGATCGCCAATTATTGCCAAGGTCGATGAACAGATCTGTGCGCTTGTCGAGTTCGTGTCCTGCAAAGCATCATCTTTCCAACATCCTGGGCCTATTGACAAGCAAAAGGAAGCGCGAGTCGTTTAGCTGATTAGCTGTTCTTCTAGAACGGCTATTTCATATCGGAAATCCGTTGTTTGCCATCGAGCGCTTTGATTGTAGGCAAAATGAATGCCTTTTGTCACAAATTGCTAACGAAGCTGCACATCACGAAGCACACCACTCTGGTACGTTGACGTTTTTGAAGAGAGTCCACGTTTTTAGCGATTGAATGTCCTTTGTAGTCCTTATCTAATATTCATTTCATCGCATTCATAATCATTCTGTCTTGCTTCTACTACTGAACTTTTCCCAGTTAACTTTAGGACAGGACAATTTGCCATTTGTTCCTACGTTTTCTTTGATTTTAAATCAATCTGAAGCTCCCACGTATCGCTTATTAAGTTAATAGTTATTACTTTATTCATGGTTGTTAATTACCTTATTTGAAATGACATTTCAATGTTTGCGATACATTATAGGCACGTGAAGGCAATTTATTAGACTAGCCTTCAGGGATGCGTCCCATACAGCCCTTGAAGTGAAGGCAGGTAGTCTTTTTTTAGTTCCTCCTATTCAAAACGTCCTAACATTCGAATGCTTGTTAGAAACAAGCATTTTAGAGCTCGATCTACTGATGAACTAAATTCATATTGAAATAATTATGCGACCAAAGTGAGACAGAGTATAAATCTCTTTGGCTAATATGTATAAACTAAAGCCGGCTCTAGTTACAGCCCGTATCCGTAATGCAATCAAAGTACAGGTGCGATCATTTAGTGAGAGATCGAATTCAATAGCCAAAACTGTCATGCAGGCTTCATAACGAGCCTTTCGTTAGGCCCCAGGCAGCCGACTCACACGTGCTTGATCTATTATGCATCGAAAGACAATCATATTATTCAAGATTTGCATAGGTACACGACAGCCAGTGATAGCCATCTTATCCATTCGCTGCAGGACATCAATGTGCTGTTTTCCTTTTCCAATTACCCTGTAGACACGCATGGTATCATCTTATTTACATAATAACTCTATTGAACAATATACAGAGAAACAGCGGCTCAGAATTCATGTGCCTGTCTGTCTGCCTGCCTGCTTGATCGACTGACCGACCGCCCGCCGCTTCCTTCCGTACTTCTATTGGTTTCATGCCGAGATGCTTTGAAACGATACATTGAATTTAAGTCGTCGCTGCCCGACATGGTCGTCGTCTTCGCCTCCGTCCGTACTGTTTTGTTTTCTCCGTCAGGGCGCGTGGTGGCAGACGAAGAACAAAGCGAAGAGCCGATTAATTTGCAGCGTTATTAAGCTAACGTTAATAGGTTGAGCTGACAGCCACACAGAAGGAGCAACCGCAACAGGCCTCTATGATCTCCGCTAATGTTGCACGCATTTCCCATATGCACATTTTCAGGTAGAGAGCTGCTCGGAGGAGTTTCTTCCGATCGTGACGCCTATAAACAAAAAAGATCTTCAACGGCCTCAGCAACAACTAGATAATCAATGTCGTCAAATGCTCTTCAAAGAGACTTCGCCGCCCCGGGCGGAACCCACATCCTGCGAGCGACAACCGACGCTGCCACAGTATAAGTTCGAGTCGCTGCAGCGATATCAGCAGGCGACGACTGCTCGCAACGGAAACCAGCATTGCGACAATAGCACAGACGGCAAAGGGCACAACACGACAAGTTGTAACGGCGGTGCTACGGTGACGACAGCAGCGGCAACGAGCGCGACGACGATCAACCCCAATCGGCTGTCGGCATCGAAGAATCTACAGGAGTTTGACTTTACGCTATATGATCTTAACGGGCACGGAAGGGTCACCAAGGATGTGAGTTATTTTCTAACTGTTACGCACTCACTTCTCTTTATAGATACGTGTTTGTTAGACATGCAAACGCAAGATAAACCATGGATGAATTTGACTCTTCTCGGACAGAACATAGCGTCCGTGTCCAGATAAACGCGCAGCCGTACGCATGACCATCTAGTTGCCATGGTGGTCTTTTTAAGGATAGACCTGGTTCGGTTTCAGTTTCCTAAACGATAGTACTTATGCGAACCGTTCCCTTGAGCATTAGGTGACCTATTCGTGGATCGTCTATGTTCACGATGTATGTTACGAATTAATATGGAGCTATATTACCACAGCGTTTGCTGTTATCTTTTTTTTTTTTTTTTTTTTTTGTAACAATATTACTACTATTAATAACAGTGATCATAGATTTTTTCGTATTGTAGTTTTCTTGGGTTATTGTTGTTATCGGCACAGACTATCGGCGTCGTCATTATTTATAGGGCTGGGCGTCTTGCTACGCTAGCCCAGATACAGTGGTAGATGGGTTCAGTGGGAATGTGTTCGCTTGTGCCGCATGCCATAGCGCTATGAAGAAGTGCATGCGTCTAGTTAACTGTCCGATCTGCGCTTTCCTTTTGAAGGACTGCGTTTATCTGGTTTCTCTCTATTGATCACTCAGCCCATCGCCCACCTCTCCTGCAGATGCCGGACAGGCAGACATGCCCGCCCGTATTAGTACGGCATTGACTAAGTGAATTAAGCGTGTGGGTACAGCTCGGCCCTGTCACACGACCATCCTTTTGCTTCGACCACTTTAGAGCTAGGAACCCTTGGCTGTTTTGCATAGGCGGTCTCGGTTCCCGACTCGCGGAGATGACCTCGAGCGGCCGTGGGGCCCCTTCAGACTAACTCCTGACTATAGCTAACAGTTTTGGCCTCCTGTGCCACTGCAGTAATAGCAACTTTTACTATCATTCCCATGCTGCTACCTATTACGAGACAACGGCACTTCGTATTAAATCCTAGAGTTTTAAACGTCGCCCAGTCGTAATAGTAAAAACTCTTTCACGCGGCTATAAGACGGCTGACAACAGTGAGGTTAGAGAAAAAGCTTGTACGCGTAAAGTATCTATACATTGTGTTTGGTTAGCTATAGTGTAACAGCAGACTTTGCCTCTTATCGAGAGATATCCGTGTGTCGAAGCTGCCGGCGCCATCCACCAGTTCGCTGTTGGGGATGATGAGGAGTCGTCGAACGCAACAGTTATGGCTATAGTAACTACGATGATGTCGCCCTTCCTCTCTGCCTACGGGACTATAAGCCCATCGTACAGCGTCGTATGGCGCGTTGGCCTATAAAATAACTGACCGGCCGGCCGAACGAACGATGGACTAATCGTGCTGGCAGGGTAGCGACGAGCCGCACGGAACACTAACGACGTTGACACGTTCGCACTCTAGATGCCTTGACGCGCGGCGTGAGCAGCGTTTACTTGATAATTCCTTCCTCCAGTCGACTGTGGGCTTTGTAGCCCATCCTGTACGGGGGCGGACGGATCAACTCAGCAACGATTTTTTATACGCTCATCAGCGCCATCGCTGCCTATCACCGCCACACGAGATTGGCAACGCCAGTTCGCACTGTTTCCCGCAGCTCGTTCGCCTGCCGCTGGCATCAACTCAGTCGTCGGTCGGCTGGTCGGCCAATCGTTTCACGCGGGTCAGGCCAAGTCGCCGTCACGGCGGCGCTTTGATGGACACCGGCGTGACGCGGTTCGGCGGACGTTCAAAGAGTCTTTTTGAGAGTGCCGCGCGGTTGCTCCGTTTGTCAGTTTTCTCTCTCTCTCTCTCTCTCTCTCTCTCTGTGCACTCGCTAAGCGCCGGTGTAAAGTCGACGTTACGGCTGTCGCCGTTCTCATCGTTGTTGTTTTCTCTGTGGTAAACGCTGCATTACGGCCGGCACGTAGCTTACATTGCAGTCGTTGCTATAGCCGGTAGTGGATTGGAGCTGTCGCCGGCCTCCGGGCCCGCTTCGACGACCGTAGCGTGGCCAATATAATCAGCACTGCTGGTAAAGCGTCGACGGAGGTAGATATTCTGCCTGTTGCCGCGGCGGTTGGCGTCACCAGCGCTATGTTTCTGTTGCCGGCAGCAGCAACAGCAGCAATGCCAAGGATAGCGCTACTGATGAGTAGTGCCGATGGCGAGTTGGGACGGTGCCGTTAGAGACCTAACGACTGGGTACTCGTACGAACGGTCAGTTTGAGCTGTTCCTCTCTTCACTTGTTCATATAGTAGCGATGGCTTTCATTGCCCACCGTCACCATAGGCGGCGTCAGTGGCACCCTTCGTCGAGCGCTGTTCGCCACTTAACAGCAGAGGAAGAGCATAGAGGGCTAGCTGTAGCGGGAACAGCGCTATTGCTGACGCGACTGGTACCGGGTCCAAGCCGCACAGAGAGAGAGCGGCGTAGAGGACTGATGGACGACACTTCAAACAACAAAGACCGCTTACGCGGCTACTACCGCCTTAGCTGTTACACGCCAAAAGCTGCTACAGAAATCCTGAGGATTGACAGCACACGAATGCGGCCGACGCCAGCGAGCACGTTCACAAAAAAATTGAGAAAGTAGACGAAGGCGATCGAAAAACGGCCTAGAGACCAGGACCAAAAGCTGCCTGCCGTCGTTAAGCGAACGCTCCCTCCGACGATCAGTTTGACATAAACGCAGAGTGGTAAAGCCAACGGAGGCAATGTTAATGCTGGCTCACGTTCGAATAGACCGTGTTTTGGTTGATCATGTTGCAGGGGCGGCCGTTCAGAGATGCACTGGGGAGATTGCTTTTGTACGGTAAAAGCTGGAGGCTCGCGTATCGCTGAGCAAATCGCACCACCAATGATTCAGGGGGTGCCCCTCGGCCCGTCGCCGGGCATCTCACAAATGATGGGGGAAATGTTCGCGTTGGGGGCAGAAGCTGCCATGGTTGAGTTGGGTAATGCAGCTGACAAAACAGATGAAACGAAAAGAAAATCTGCCATCTGGGTTACCGGCGAGGACTAGCGCTCAATATCTTCACGTATTTGTACATATTTGCAGGGTCGAAAAATTCAATTGCTCTATAATGAAGTTGTTATACGAGAGTACTAGTTCTTACAAAGACGTGCCGTAAGACTCGAGCGTTTGCGGCTGCAAGGTACAGATGACAGGCTGAGAAAAAGTCTATGATTTCCGGCTTTGCTTTTTTGCTATTCTTTCGGTTTAATTTAGCGGAAAAGTATACGATGGGGTATTGAAAAAAAAAACACCTACAAGCATCATAGTTCACCGATAAATATTAACCGCGTAAAGCAACTTATGCAGCCTCATCTCTGATAATAACTTACATGTGTGTAAATGCATGTGCAATGAAAGAAGTAGTATTTTAACTGTCGTTGCTTACCAACAGTTTTTTTTTTACGAAGGAAGAAATCCTGAGTTCCAGCTAGATGGCATATTGCAGTCTGAATAGAATCTTCTTGGCAAAAATGAAATATTCGAATGAAGTTTCAGATCCTGCTGTCTGTTCAGACATTTTATTTGATATTCTTTACTTCTTTTCGTTAATGTTTAATATTATTTCTACAGTCGACAGAAGTTTACCTATAAGGTATCGTATCCTTATCCAAAAACAGAGTACCTATATATGTACACTATTAACCTAAAAAAAGGTCAGCAGCCCGTTGGGTTCGGCCACAGCTACGCTTCATTAAAAAGACACAACGTGCTATATGCCTCGAAGAAGTAACATTGAAGCGGCAAATATCTATGCCTCATTTATGAGTTTGCCCCCTCAACAACGAATTATTCGGTTCCGAAAAACTGGGCTCGAGCAGTATTTCGGAATCATTAGAACAGCAGACTTGTCAAGCAATAAGATAAATGTTTCTTCTGGCATTGTATACGGGTGAGCTAACAATTCATCCGTGTACAATGCCGACTGCTGTGATTGATTAAGGAAATACTTAATCTATATTCGTAAGCTCACGTTAGACAGGGGACCTCAGTAAAAATTTCGGTTAAACTACATAATGTACGATTGAGTAGATTGTTTGATAACGAGAGATCACTAAATGAACATGCTCCTACATGCTCGCATGCAGCAATACAACTACAGAAAAAACAAAAAAAAAAAAAAAAAAAAAAAACATTTCGGTGTAAGAGCTCTGTTTTTGAAGAGTGCTTACATCTTAAACGAGAGGACTGTTACTTACCTGAGCATTCAAGCTCTTCGAGCATGTCAAAACGTAGAGCTATCATTAACCTTAATTACGTGAAACTATTTCGCCTAAAAAGTAGATGCCCGTACGGAAACCTATGCCGCATCGATTGTTACGGCTTCTCTTGGCCATCTAGTCTAAAACCAAATCGGCAATAGCTTACAATGCTTACCAGTCTAGCTAGGCGTTATCCGTTTGTCATTTACGGTAAAAGGCCATTGTTTAGGTTTATGATCATCATAGAGAACTAATCACTTTGTTTATGTTCTCCCCATGTTTCCATAAGAGATTACTATTGCTGCGGGAAAGCTGCTAATGAGCTAGCTCCTTGGAAAATGTATACATAGGACTCCATCCGTTTGGGGGCCGTGGCAGATCTATAACAATTTATGTCCTTACAAAACAATTAAGCGGCACTTGTCGATCAATCGAAAAAAGCTCAGACATAAGTTTTCAAGTTGTTAGCACTACTAATATTTGCGCGACCTGTGGAAAAATTTAGTATATACGACAGTGTTATTGGACGACTGCAAAAATAGCAGTGTCTCAACTTGAAACTTGACTATATATATATATATATATATATATATATATATATATATATATATATATATATATTGCACCATTTGCAATGAATAACATTTGGATTATTTAATAGGAGGAACTCTTGTAGGATGCTCTATTAATAGTTGGAATCGTGCCGCGATTACTGATCTCTGGACATGAGTGCGTTTCATTATTTGCTTGCAGTAACTTTGTTATCATTTATAGGTTTAACGATCGATATCTGCGCGCGTTTCTACTCCAATGGTGCTGATTGATCGGGCTGTAATTTTCAGGACATTGCAGGTTTGGTACGTACCATCTACGAGCGGATCGGTTGCAAAATCGACTTACCACGTGGGGGAGAGCGCCGTATACGAGTGAAGCTTGAAATCGTCGTAGACGACAGGCCAACGCTGAATGCAAACGAACAAGAGGTCGCACACCAGGAAATTTCCAGGACACGTCATCGTTCGCCTATTCGAGTTGCGTTCGATGAGGAACAATTGCTGTATGAAACTATAAAGGTCCGTTGATGTACATGTTTTCAATCATTAAAGTTCTTACATGAAATTCTCACTGGCTGAGCTAAGGGGGCTCCGCTTCTGACCAAGTTGAACAAGAACGAAATGTCTAGCTTTTGAGTAGGTGAAAAGGAAAGTCGCATAAACAATTAAAGGAGACACAGTCACTTACCCTTAGCCGTTACCAACTAAAAAAAAACAAACTGAGTTCTTTCAGGAGTGTCTTCTTCGAAGAACGGACAATTTGTTTTCTCATCTTCCTCTGCCTGTGTTTTCAGCAGCAGTACCAGCAGCAGCATCCGATGACAGATTTACGCAGTTCGCAGAAATGCAACCATCAGTCGCCGGGAAACGCTCACGCCCGCACAGCAAAAAAGGTGTTGACCTCGGAGGCGTTACGAGTTCGACATTCCGTTCCGTTATCGACTCCGTGCACATTTGTACGCACCGGTGGCGCTAGTCATCACCCCAAAGCCCAAACACCATTTTATTCAGCTGCTAATATTTCTTCGATGACGGCCACTGCATCCACACCTTTGGTGACCAGCCACTCTGTCTACACAACGGTAGCGACTCAGCCTTTCTGCGTAACGACGGCTGTAAACTGTACTGACACAGCGTCGACAGCAGCTGTCGTTGAGCACTCACAAGTCGGCTGCCATATAGGGGGGAACGTATTGTCGAGTACGTCACCCCATTCCCCACATTCGCACAGTAATGAGCAGCACCACTACGCTAGCTCGAAAAAGCAGCACCACTATAGGCGGCGGCGTCAGCATCACCTTGGCGGAGAACGAACGGAGCTAAACAACGTAGCAAAATCACAAGAGAAGCCGGATCGACCGCCGAGCCATGGTGGACGACTGCGCGAAAAGCCTTTCGTACTCAAAAGTCCCTACGATGAAGAGACGATTCCAGTCTCGAAGAGTCGACATCATGGACATCGTCACCATCACCACCACCATCAACAATTGATTCGACATGTTCACCATCATTATCATCACGTTGCGTAGATTATATAATTATAGATGTAAAAAGTTATTGTAGGATTCTTTTTTTGCCCGGTAATCATTGTACAAATAGATCGCTCCCCTGTATATATCATAAAACTGTACAAACCATGAATATTTATTGAAATGTCACCAGTGGGCAACACTCGTACCCATATGAACGCGTGGACTGGATTAACGCGGACAAAACAAAAAAGGCTCAAGGCCTGACTACGCTAATGGTGACCTTCCTAGTCCGAGATCGTTGTTGATTGCTGGTGCGAAAAAAAAAAAATAAAAGATCTGCATATGATACTGTTAGCTATTTCAGTAATGTTAGTTGCGCAGGTGAAACGGCAAGAACGCGAAAAGGAGACGCTAATCTGGTTAGCAGATATTTTCAAAACAGGACGTTTCTAAACAAACCAGCGTCAGGATGAAGCGACTGCCGCCCGTGTGATTATCAACAGTAGCAAAATTACACAGTATCCGTCTTTTTTTTTTAATTTTTTTTTTATTTTTACAAATGAACACCGCATTTGATGTACTCAATTACCCGTTGTCACCCCCAAACGCTGTTCTGCTGTAGCGTGCCCCAGCCTAATACATAGCGACTTCAAATCTCCTTAGCCTAAACCCGAACTCGTTGCGAATCACCTTGTTGCCCTATTTCCATTGTCGTATTGCGGTTTACTCATCGTAGTTTTCCCATTACCCTCCTTCAGCAAATCCACTATACGGTTCGAGTTTTTTTCGTTACCCTACTACATTGGCGTATTTTTTTTTTTGGCAATTTATTTACATTAGTCCGGTTATATAGTCACCTTGCTCTAATGGTTAATTTGGCCTAATTTAGATATTCTACTACGATCTGGTTTTGTAGCAGATGTCTCAATGCATCACGCTGATGATGTCGTGATCCTATTGCAATTAAGCCACCACTGTCTGATCGCTGGTCCATTGCCTATTTTGGGCTATCTATCGTCATAAGCTGGGATTGATCGTTATTTTATTTGTAAAAAATACCGTTTGGGATACCTGTAAAAACGCTCAGTTTTGGTACCGTTATGAGCTGCTTAAAATTATTTACTCGGCTCAATACGTAAACATCTGATGGACGTCAGGTCATCACGATGCTGCATAGCAGAGATTGATTGGTCCCTTCCTAAACTGTATCTAAAAAATAGTAGTAGTAGTATAATATAATTATTAGTTTAATAATTAAGTGGCAGGCAAGGCATGATTACATTTGGCTTTTAATTATTTTTTTGTCAAACTACGTAATTTTTTTTGTTTATTATAATGTTGATACTTTATATATTGATACACATTTTATTTTTAGAGAAAAGTTCCGTAATACAGAGATTTTTTTTGTACCAAAGTTACTATATGGCAGCGAAGAGTTTCTCGTCTTGATGGCACTTATATCCATGTAAATAAACTCTACTTGCCTAAGAATAGATAATATATGGGCGATTCGTTATTGTTTCAATCAGATGTATACCTGATGCATCGTAAAATCAAACTCTGTTTTAACTGACCCTCGCCTCTAAAGTTTTTTTTTTTTAAATCTAAATTTATGTAATGTTAATTTTATCTATGTATTTACGGCGCGTTCGTACAGTCTCGTCCGTTAACGGGCAGTGAATAATTCTGTATCTCACGGTATTTTCCTCATTATTTAACACGTGTATAGTAAATAGCATTAGCGATGCAATGGTTCTCTCTCTCTCTCTCTCTCTCTCTCTCTCTCTCTCTCTCTCTCTCGCTCTCTCTCTCTGTATATATGTCTATGTATATCGCGAGAGAGAGAGAGAGAGAGAGAGAGAGAGAGAGTAAAAAGCTAGTTGCGGGCTCATACTCAAGCCATTATTATGATTATTTATTAATTTATACATAGTCATGACACCAATTCGGTTCTAATTTACGTTGGGTGGCCTGCCATAGGGCATGTACTGTTAGATTACCTCTAAAGCTGGCAGTAGCGGAAAACTCATAAACAAACCCTAAATCCAAACGCGTATTCCACTTTAATCTAATCGGTGCACGCTCAATATTTGACACGGCGACAAAGTCAAACGTACCGTACAATGGTTATGTTGACACTTCATCGTGAAGTGTCGAATCAATAGAAATTGTATGATTTGAACGTTGGATCTCCCCCTGCCCTGCGTCGTAGGGCACAGATAGCGTCGAGGAGTGCCCACTGCCCAATAAAAAGCAAAGAAATTGTCTCTCAGCTTTCGCGAGAGTTATTTGTTGTCCGTCTGAGTCTATATCGATCCATTATACGATGTTAAAACGTTTGGCGCACAATTTGAATGTTCAGCTATTACGTTCTTGTCTGACATAGATCAACTCAAGCAAATTTATTGCCGTAACGTATTATAAACCTGTTTATAGATGTAAAATCGTGTGAGGTATTGTATAGTAATTTATTCGAAAATGGTAAAATAGCAAGGGGTTGTTGGTTCAAGGACGAACAACACAGTTTAACTTATGAATTAAGCAAGAGAATAAACAGAAGGTCGTAATTTTTTTACTTTATATTGTCTATCAAACATTTAGAAGTGTGAGCATTGTAAAAAAAAAAATAGATACACGAAACAGGGTCGACGAAGATGGTACGAAAAAATTGTCGACGAGGAAATCGAATTATAAATTAAGTAGGAAACTTAATTAGTTTTTAAATAAAGGGTTATCTTTATGCTCATTGTATCGGTTTAAATTTCTTTTGCATTATTTCGCCGTAGACACAACCCAAAAGCCTGTTTCGTATGAAATAAAGGCTAACAGTCTCCTTTTTTGACTACGTTGAACACAACGACCTTTGGTACAATGTCGTCGATCAAGTTCACTGTTAAGCTACCAAGTCCCATGGAAATAAATAAATTCTAATTATTTTCTTTTATTCAAATATCCGATAAAATCTGACATCTAAGTAAATAAATCTCTCATGGCTAATTAAATTCGCATTTGGCAGAAACTTGGCGTGGTGTACTATGTTAATTTTTTCAGAAATACCCTTAGAACGTTGGTTAGTTAACGACTTTCAATATAACTTATTAGACCCATAAAATGCTAACCATTTCAAAAGGATTCGGGCTAGTTTTATTACGTATAAAATTTTCCAGGTAGTATCCTTTTCTGCCTGAGCAGAGAAGGTTTATAGTTAAACGATTCAGGAGAAACGTATATGCAACTTTTTCCATTTTCATTTTCGCTTGATACTTACTCCTTTCTACCTCTGCACCTCACCGTGGCTCTATCAAATTTAATACTGCGAAATCCGGTCCGAAAACGTTTGCCGTATCTTCTCGTTAAGCCGTCTCAGTTTAAGGTAAAATAGCATATTCGCCAATCGACGATTATACCAGTTGTTCTTGGGAGGCCTACAATCCCAATATCAACTATACGAATATAATGTTATTTTATTTTATTTATATTTATTTTATATTAAGAATATAAATAACGTTCAGTGTAACCTGTACCAGTCAAAACCATTTTCCTAATGTTTTCGCTAAATGAGGCTGAGCGAGAAAGTAACTTATATATATATATATATATGTATATGTATGTATTAGAAGTTTGCATTAGTAATTACCTGACGTCGCCTGCAAAAACGAGTAGTCGCCAAAATTAATAATTAGTGGTGACATTGATAATAACCACGGTGATCCGCCCACTCAATTGGAACTTCCGAAAAGCCTAGTCTCCCTTTTCAATTGCCTTCGGTTAAAACCAGATCTCATTGAGAGCCGATAATGACGTCTGGTTTGTAGACTTCTTCGTTTCAGTATACGAAGATAACGCACACACTTGGTGTACTTGTACGTACTTCTGGTACGGTTACGCAGGCCATCATTGCGGTTGGTGCGCTTGACTTCACTCCCGCAGCTGAGGCCTATCAGTCGGTATCGGCTAAGCATTTGCAGAACGCGAACTTCGACCATCGGCAATCGTCCGTGTCACGACCCTGCTAGACCAGGTCGATACGCCAGAGGAAGGATTAGTGTATCCATGAAATTTCGGACAGCTCGCATTTGAGGCAACTGATGTGGTTAATGGGGGCATATCGGTAGTAGGCATTTAACGGCCAATAACATCACTATATTATTCTATAGCGGTGGCATATAAGAGGCTTATGCTACGTAATCGCTTAGTAAACTGTGTCATTAAACATATTTTGCACCGCTTATGACTTCTTGGCGCAGGTTACTCTACGTCATCGGTATACTTCAGAAAAAAACTCGAAGGTTTTCCTTGCCTTCACCCTCGGACAGTGCTGGTGAGCAAATTTGCTGTCTTCGGCTACCAAATAGTTTATGTAACGTTAGTAGAAAGGCAAAATGAAGATACAACATGACTTATGGCACATTTTTTTAAAACTATTTCAGTAGCCTTAGATGTTCATCAATGTAGCTAGACAGATATCTGCATGGTCGATTTTCACGGTACTCAAATAAGTGCTTTTGTAAAAATAGAGAATTCGATCATTTCGACACGGACGCGCAGTTCTTTGATCGTTGTATCGTACCAGCGGGTTGATAGGGCCGTACAACGTCACATTAGGACACAAACGTTGACGGAACAGGTCGACGTCTAATAAGTGGGGGGCATTTAATTAACTATGCAAGGATTAATCGGCTGAATTTCAATGACATGTAAGTAAGAAGAAGCTGAGCCGATTTACTGGTGAAGAGAGCGTCGTATGAATAAAAATGCTCACTTCATCTTCGCGTCCTGAGTCGCTTACGGTGTCGCTTACGGTGTCACTAGAGAAGTGATGTAGAAAGATACGTTTTCGACGCAATTTAAGCGCTGGCATTGACGACCCTACGAAAATTCTATGATACGATAGCTTCCGTAAGCGCAGAAGTCGATCACATTTCTGGTACGCCCTTTGAATTACACTAAAGATCAAGAGAGGTCTAATCGGAGCGCGATTTTTTTTTTTGTACAAATATGTAGTTTGCTGACAAGTGGTTTCAACGATGATGGGGCAAGTATGCATAGGAAACAATATCTTTGATGCTAACAGGTTTATACAAGTTTTCGATACATTTTACAAGATACAGGTTTAGGATAGGTGACAGTTGGGCAGCTCCGTGATTTGCTTCATCGGCGAATATAATTTTTGGTGCCAAAATTCATTAATAAAAATAATTTATTCCTGAACTTCAAGTTATATTTCCACATCAGAACTCACGAAACGGCTGTTGATTCGTGTGGGATTAGCATGGAAAAGCGAATTTTTGTTTGTCAAAAACCTGCCCTTTTTTTTATGTTGAACGCATAATCCGCAGAAACAGGAACAATACCCGGTATTGTTATATATAGATATATTATTCTTTCAATAGACATAACTGCAGTAAGATGTTAATATCAAAAATAATATTGGCATCCCGTATCAAACGCCCATTAAAGAACTGAATTTTCTCATGTATATAAAATTAAAAAAAAAAAATGTAAATTTGGGTATTCCTCTTATACTTCAAGTATTTCCTAAGCATTTAAGCAAAAAAAACAACATGCAAAGCACTAATTCCGCTCAAAGAGCTGGTCGGTAGAAATAATCAAAACAAACATTTTCTGTTTTTAATTTTTCTTCTATGTTCTTTTTATTTCACGCACCTTCCAGTTGATTACGCGTATTTACTTAAATCAATAACACATCTCGCCTCTTTTCCACTTTACTTTGTGTTTTTGCGCACACGGACTCCTGTGACTTACATTTTATTTATATATGTCAAAAGACGTGTTGCATACAAACGTGTCATTTCGTCGCTGGAACTAACATCGTTGCAATTTGTCGCCCTAAGATTCGACTTTTATTTCCCTATAATCAATACATACATGCGTACATACACAAATGTTCATCTACAGGCTTTTAGGTCTCATAGTTATTCGGTTACAATAGTAATGTACATAATATACAGACGAATGAAAGGGTTGTGTCTGGGTTTTGTTGTCTTATGTGGTACGAATATCATCCTTATTTTCCATAAGAAATTGATTCATTTTCTGCTGGATTTACTCACCGCATCTCAACAGATATCGTTCCGCCCACGATTCTCCATATCTTCGTAATCTTCCTTGTTTCAACTAGTGTGAAGCCGTAAAATTGTCAAGACTTAGCAACTAATTCAAATCTAAGTAATAAGGCTCGCCAGCTCTCAGCGACATAATAGTAATAGTCCCATTCTTACAATCGCACAATGAGATAACGTATTCACAACAGCGAGGATGGTAATAACAGTTGCATCTTCTAAGTATATTCGGTTTATTCTAGTGGCTCAATTTTTTAATAGTGATAACTTACAGGTAATCGATAATAACAACCCAGTTGTAATGTGTGTTTATTTTCTAATAATAAGAATCGTTCCACATACATCGACAAACACACTTATTGTATTTCTTCCTAGGACGCACGTGTCTTTCCTGGGCAAATGCGATGCATGTGAAGAAAATCTTCTACGAACAAATCGATACGTTGGTCCGTAATTCGGCCAAGAAGATTTACGCTCACGGCAGCTATTGGTACAAGACTTCCAGCTGTACGCACTAGTTATTGCCATCAGAGATGTGGGCACAGATGTTCATAGTGATAATTGAATAGTTCGAATGAGAACGCACAGTTTCTACATATCTTCATGACTCTTTTCTGGTATGATGGTGTTCTTGAGCACGAGTCAGTCGAAAGATTGTGACTTCCCAGATGGTTCTTCGGCATAGCGACCTCGCTGAGAGTGATTCCCCTAACCGTATTTATCATATATTGTATAAAAACATCCGCCAATCTTCCGTTATTGCATTGCCTACGATCGTAATCGATTTTACAAAACTGTGCAAATAGGTAGGTAAATTTTGACACGATTGAAAAGTAAAAGACCACAGCAAAAACCAGTCCAATTCCTAGTGGCCTACTTCTTTGGCATTTCCAAGGCAGTAACATAGTGCGGGTCACATAGGTCGCTTTTCTGAAAACCTACAGAGCTCTGTTAATGCTTTTGACTAAATTGGAGTAACTCACAAAAACAGATGTATCCTGTTAATAATGATTTTCGTTGATCCGCACGATTCGTTGGCGTGGTGATACACAGTCAACTTCTAGAATCACGATCTAAGGCCAGGTGTTCGTGTACCAGTTTTAAGAGGCCAAATATTGCGATCAGGTCATCATGAAACCTCAATGCAAGAGCATGAGAACTAAAGCCCCAAATTATTTCTGCATTGAGACCTAATCGTTTCATGCGTATTCCACTAATTTATTGGTGAATGGGTATGAGTGGCAACATATTCACATACGGGCTCAGGATCGACGAAAACAATAAATATGGCTTTCCAACAACAGCCCGGGGTATCTTCAGCACCATCACTGTCACTTTATATACAATCGTACAACGAGTACTATTCGCATTATAAGCGCCTGTCTTGGAATGATGAAGGTGCGGTTCACTGTTGGAACTAGCGTACTGAAGAATCACCAATGCAGAGATCGACAGCCCGGTGTATTTTCTTTCAATTTTAGCGACTAAACAATTCGGCAACATTCGCTCGTTCTAATGCTTTGTAAGATATCGAGGGAAAAAAAAATAAGGAGACCAATTTGTTCTTGCCTCTGCAAAGCTCACCTACGTCGACCTCATATTTGTAAAAGTGAGTTCCTCCATTTTTTCTGGTTCTGTTTATACATGTTAACTTGTATTAATTACATTCGCCGTTGCAGAGCTTCTTTAAACAGCTTGATCTTCTGACCGAAAAAGGCTTCAAGCAAATCTGCGCACACGTAAAAGGCGCTGTTCTTCTGGTTGTAGTAGCGGCAGTTGTCGAATATCTTCGTCATATCGGCAACAAATGGAGCCAACGTGCTGTACTTCCCCACATTTAGCTTCTGTTCCATCGTTCGAAGATCCATTGGTTCCTTTATCACCTGCGCATTGTCACAAACAAAAGAAAGTATTTAATAATTATCCACTTGCGACCACTGACGAACTATAGTAGCCACACTGGGCAGAGTAGCCGATCTGTTGAACTAGCTAATCCAGCAACTGCATAAGGACAACTATACGATTTAAAGCCTGCTAAAATTAGCTTGATTTGTATTGCCAAAATTAAAACAAGACCAACTAACTCGGAACGACCACGTTTACAAGTTTTTATTTCAAACACAGCGCTCTAGCTCGTACATGATCTACGGAAACGTTTTTTTTTTTTTATCATAAGTGAGAGCAGTACATTTCGTCAAGGGAATGTCAAGTAGAAATTTCGGCAAGCTCAATAATAGGAGTTTAAAATATCCGACCAAAATGTTCGCCACCAGCATATACATTTAAGTTCTTGCCTGATAATAGTCTGGTGCCTGCCTTCGATTGACCGGCTCCTTAAACGGCCAGGCCTGTTTGTGGGCTCTCACAGCAAACAGCAATTTTCGAAGGTTTTCTTGGTCCGTCTTGCCCAGAGATCGATTGAGAACCGCCACCGATACCTCTTCACCGCTGCTTGCCTGTAAATGAAAAAAATAAAATCGAATTCGCTATCATGAGATATTCATTGATGTATATATTCAAACTAATCTAGCATTTCTTGCAAAATGCCTCGGTAGGACAATATCATAATAATAATAATAATAATAAGCTAGTCCACTAACAAATAGGCCTATCGAAAATTATGTCACCTTAGTCATATTATTAGTTGGCTATATACCTAATAATAATAATAATAATGATTATGTAAAGCCACGGTGTATTTGCCGCTGCGTCAAGCAGTCGATACTTCCCAATACACAGATGTTAAATAAATTAGTAGTACAGAGTCTAGTCATCGTTTGCTTACCTTACACTGCGGACAGATATAAACGTCAATTTTGCTAGCCTCGCTTGCCAGAACACCGACACAGCCCCCATGGAACCACCCTTGACAATTGTCGCAACAAATGTAGAACTGCGATTCGTCGTAGGGCGTCTGACAGAGGCAATAAAGCTCGACATCGGCATCGTCCTGCTGTTGTTGACAATCAGAGCACACCCAACTGTCCATTGCCCTAAAATTGGTAAGTGTCGGATGTTAATGGGTGGATATCCGACGTTTAATCCAATGGTTGATTTTTCTGCCTTTTGTCAGCTATTCGTTAAAAGGATTTCATTCAAATAACGCTTAATAATACCGTCCTTACTCCTCAAGTCCATCGTGTAATAAAATAAAAATCCTATTGAAAAAAGTATTCAAATTTACCTCGCTTGCGCTTCCGTGACGCCGATGCACGTAGTATGAAACCAGTTCGAGCAAAGGTCGCAGCCTATCATAAACTTTGACGGATCATAGGGTTTCTTGCAGATACAGTATACCTTAGATGCTGAAGCGGAGCCCCCGGGGCCTCCATGCGTGCCGCTCGCTGCGCCCGTTCCACCTGAGGTAAAACTTGACGAACGAGCCTTTTTCTTCGGGGAACTAGCACCCTCGCTGGCTTGGCCTCCAGCCTAACACAAATGTAATTTACTTAGTAAGCAAATCTACCTGTCTATTCGAGCCGCTGATCTTAACCAGTATTTCACATAGAAATTGCATGATCACTTTTAACAATACAGTGTCATTTAGCCATTATTTACCGTGTTCACAACAGAATTTGACGCTGTTCGTTTTCGATTACTATTGCTATTCGTTGACGGTTGACTTTTCTGGGCTGCCGATTGCGAGCTTTTCGGTGGCGACCGAGACCCACCCTTGGTTCCACCCATCGGCCCACCGCTGGCGCCGTTTTGGTTGTTCACGTTAACCTGAAAAGCCCGTACCAAAAAGACCAACGAGGGACGGGGAGAAATGTGTTTAGTAGATGCACAGAGGTAGCCGCTCCTAAAAGACTTGATCGTCAAGTGCACGTCGGCCACCTGCATGGGCCGAATATATTCAATGAAATCAATGTAAATAAATTATGAGCCTCTTTAGCTGCTCGTACCTGATTCGATACTGTATTTTTCGGTTTTGTTACAGCGCTTGGAGTCACGCTTGCCGAAACAACTACGTTTGAAGGGGGGGCTGATAGTGCCTGATTTTGACGTTTCCTGTTTTCCTGGAGCTGACGATCTATTTGGAGGTCCTCTTCAATCTTAAGGGCTAACTCTCGTTCCATCAATGCCCGTTTACGCATTATCTCGCGGCGAAGTGCCTCTGTCTGTTTTGCGAGCAGCGCCTAAATGTGTAAGAGAGAGGAATAAAAAGAAAACCTGACTAAACTGGACGCGCACATAGGTCTACAAAATAGACTAGCGAAACTATTACATTTTTAGCGCTACTTCTTATCTGTATCCCTCCGAATCCTGAAAGATGGTCGCATTAAAATGGTGAAGAGATTGGGTACTTGTAAGTAAACTAATTGTTCTTACAATGCGAAATCAACGAGTTCATTGTGGTTCATGCTATAGGCAAACCCTGGCCAGAATGCAACTGCAAAGGTCCAGCTTCTTTGTCATTTACCATTCTTGCTGCTTTGAAGGACGAACGTCCTTTGCAATTTTCCCATTCCTAGATGAACTTCAAAGCTAAACGGTTTATTTATCTAAGATACCTCTATCCTCCTACACGGATTGTCTGTGGGTGACAGTTTCAGCCGGGCACTACATCTGGTGGTATAAAAGTGATCGCTTTCTAGATAATAGAAAGAATGAAAGCCCATCACCCGCATAGGCGAAATATATAAAATGTGCAACACTGAAGTTATCGTTCCTACGAGACGGCAACGAAGCCATGATGAGAGAACAAGTTGATTGAACGAACAGGGCGTCATCGCGACATAATACGATTAGACATGCTAAAACATACGTGTATTACATAGATAGAAATATAGCACTGTAATTATTTTGCCACAATGACGTATCTAACTTGACACACTCTAGACTTGATCTAGATCGATACTAGTTAAAAACTCGATATAATTTATTAGAAAAATTTCTAGGTTTTTTCTTTTTTCAAAGACTCCATCCAGTCGGCGCCCGGGCTGCAATTCGACCAAAAAAAAAACGACAAATATTCTTGCTTATCTTCCTTTTACATTACGACACCATTACGGATATGCGAAATCGATTATTTCCTACTTGTTGGGCTCGCAAGCGTTTTTCCATCTCGGAATCGCGTGCCCGCTGTCGCCTTTGATTATTCCGCTCATCCCGTTCAACCTGTCAGATAATCCAGCAATCGCAAAAAGTAAATAACATCAATGGTAAGGACGGTAACAAAAAGCCGACAAACGTTTCTGATCTGAATATTTCTGACCAAATTTAGCCCCTTGTTTGTTCAGTGTTGAAACAACAAGTGGCATTGCTTATAGCGTAAAATGAGCGTTGAACAATCTTTGATAACGTTTACTTTCACACATCTATAATTCATGCACGGCTTCTATAGTGAACATAAGATATACGATTAAACGAGAGAGAAAATGAAGCAGCAACTACTATAACGGAAAAAGATGCCAAAAGGAAAAAAAACACAGTTTATGGATACGTCATTTAGCGAACGGCATGCGCTTGCTTTGGCTAGATTCTGTTTCTCCCACCGGCACTACAATGCGTATCTCTAGCAGATGTGCAATTTTAGATAAACTCTCAAAACCACAAAATCTCAGGTTATGGTGGGCCCAGTCCGATTTTGAGCGTTTAAGCTTGTTCCAACATAGCAAATATGTCACGCCCGACAACTAAATGCCCTCGTCAACTGTCGTCAGGTGTGATAAGGGCAACTGTTATGATCGCGAAGTATACAGCAAAAAACGAAAAAAACGGAACAATCAAAGCCACAATGACAACATGCATAAATTAACTAAGAATAACGTACAGTATGTCGTATTCCTCTCAAACAATGTTGTTGCAACAACAATTGGGAAAGCTTTCGTCCTTTAATCTATATTTTATATAGATAGATAAGAATAAAGTGCATTGCTCGTACAAAGTTGCTCGGGGACCGCTCTTTCGACCTACGTTTGCTTAGAATCAATTTGATTCGTCGAGAAGATCACTGTTAATTTGCAGCAAAGGTGAATGGCGTACCTATACCTATTGTTGGCTATCATGTTTTATAGGTAGAATTGTGCGTGTTTACAAAAGTGACCTGAGTAATGGTGTTCCTTAGCACCTGTAAGGACGCAGGCTGGTGTTGATCGGCCGTCCCAGTTGGTTCGCAATGGATATTTTCATCGTTCGCTAGGGGTTCCTTTTTGGGTGTAGTTGCAAGGATTCCACTAATTGCATTTGAAGTTCCGATTGTTGATTGTGAATTTTGGCTTCCTGTACCAGGCTCACTTTTCACCTGCTTTGGTAACAGCGATTCAGACATAAACATACATACAATATATCAGCGAACACAAAACCAAGTCCCTCGTTTACGTATCCGTATAATTTATATGTAGTCCAGTGTCCAATTAGTCCAGTGTCATGAATGTAAGACCAAGCATCAAATTCCACAATGAGTGAGGTATACAAGTTTAAAGCTGTGCTAGCTGGTTATCATTTTTTTTTTTTCTATTTTAAACGATTTGGATTTAACCCAATATATGTGGGATTGTTCCAGAATACCACGCAAGTAATATGTGTGTATCTGACGCTCCAAACCGTTTAAAGAGATAATGGCAGTGATATAACTAACTTTTGGTGCAACAGTCTGGTGTTGGCCTGTCGACGCTTGTTGGGTCGAATTCTGCCCGGAAGTTGGAGTTGTTACTGTCGCGTGGTGGCGCTGCAATGCCAACAGCTTTTGTTGAACTTCCGGCGTCGTCGATGGGTTCATCAGAGCCTGAAACGGTCCGATAATTGCCACGTGTTTATATCATGCAGATCTTGATTCTCGCTTTGGAAGTAAAGAGGGCTAGATTTAAGATGCAGAGATCATTGTTCTACCTTCTGTTAAACTCTATCGTACTACAGCGTAGAAAACTATCTTATCCATTGTTTTGCCGAATGACATTTCTTTTTTTTTTTAACGTAGAATACTGCACGTACGACAATTTTTTTTTATTAGATGAACCTCTCGTAAGGTCGTGTAGTCCACAATAATTTGCCACGATGCATCTTCATTCAGAATAGGCAAATATTACTGCTACGTTTAGGTGCGCCAAGTGCTTGTTGTAACATTCTGTGACTACCAAGTCAGTTGACATTCTGCCAAGTGACAAAAAAACACGAACGAGAGTTTACGAACTGTGTCATGACTACCCACCTGCTTGACAATTTGCTGTGTCATTGCGGGGGTAAGAACGAACGTCGCTGAACTAGCAGCCGGGGGAGATGGTGGACTCTTAACAATGCCTGTACCAGTCATCCGTGCCGGGGTTGAGCCCCCTGAGGCAACACTTAATGCTACCTGCTTGAACAAAATAATCGTTTTTATGTAAATGATTTCGGTTCGCTGTGTCATTGCTTACTTGGCTATATATAAATATGACAGAGTAAGCTTTACTTGATAGTATAGTTCTGGGCAAAAAATGTGTCAGTGCGGTTCGTTTGGGCATCATGATTATGATGAAACTTTTATCTACTTGTATTGTGTGGGGGAGTTTATACCCCAGTCCTTCAGCTGGTGAAAATACTGATTCAATTTGGAGCACAAATCATAATCATACTGTGCTCCTACTTGAAGGAAGACGCATATAGACGTCGATAAAAGCGCCTGTAATGGTACGAGTTGCGCTACCTTGAAAAAAGGCGGGGATACCCAAAAATGTAAATGCAGCAATATTCTTGCTCGAAAAAACATAGTCTTCACACCATACCGCTAGACCGATGCTAGTGTAGACGACTTTGCTTCGAGTAAACCTGGCCCTCATTAGCGTTCTTCACACGAAGTGTCCGCCCGCAACAACGTGCGACGACAGCAAGAATGCTGAACTATCTTTTTAAGAAAAGACATATGGGGTATATGTATATCGAGGTAACGACGTACGTTTCGTACAAAGCACATTACCCTGTGCAGATGTGTGAAGGGCACGTTTTTCGAGTATACATACAGCGTATGAGCTACATTACTAGCGAACGACAGTAATCAATTATTTGCTAGCAAGCAGATGCATCGATAGGATAAACCGGCAAATATGAGTATGATTATGCAATGGTTTGAGCCGCTCTCGAAAAGGGGGTGAAGTTCCAAAACGAGAATGGACCAAAACGTTGGTTAAAGAACAAGACTGCCTTCGCCAAGATACGCTGTGTACTGAAAGAAGTACTTTACTGAATTTGTATTTTGCTTATTCTCGTTGCACATTTATTAAGAGACATGCTTGTGGGGCTCGCTTCCGTTAATGATAAGGCATTTCCGAGACGCCTAATACATTTCTAGTACAGTGACTTTACACTGTTGACAGCGTTTTTCGTTAACCGATCCTTGAAATTTCTTATACTTATGGCTCGAGCGCCTCGCGATCCAGCATTTGCCTCCAGGCATAGATATCAGCAATCAGCGCAAAGCAAGCCAGGGACGAGAAACAGCAGTCTTTACATTTATCCTGCCTAAGTTTGCATACGACTTCAGTCTGGGAATAACTCTAAGAAAATCTTCTATTCAGACCTGATCGACCGCCAGCCAGAACCGCCAATAAGAAAAGTTCCCTTAGAAAACTTACCCTTGAAATCGTCACGAAAATACGCAGGTAGCGCAGCAAGACTCCCTAATGATTTACTATAATTATCATGCGGATAATGATAATTGAATAACCTACAAACACCGTCTGACGTGTGATGCTGTAAGCACTGTGGTGATTACTACGCAGAAAACACCGCAGATAGCTACAATAACGATGGATTAGCTCCGGAAGTACTTAACTAGTTGTATTGATCATATATATATATATACATATATATATATATATATATATATATATATATATATATACCGCTAACTACAAAACATGACATTCAAAGATCAGCATGTCTCCTTGTAATAGACAGATTTTCATCGAGCACTGAGAATCGATACCCGTAATACAACCGAAACTTGCATCCCGGCTTTCGCAAAATCTAGAAAGTTGTTCTAAATGAGAATTGGCAGCGGCCATATATGGTTTGCTTGTATGCGTAATGAATGTTTGCATTAAAATCGGTATTGTCGATATAGATATTAGGTATTAGAGTAAAGAGAACGAGTTTAGATATGGTTCTGTTACTGTTTATTGGTATTTCGCTTGTTTGAACACAATTTTTGGCGGCGCGCCCCAACGCTCATCGGCAACTTTCATTCCCTGTAAGGCAATGAGTACCCCACACAATCGAGGCCATCGGCAATAGGCACATACAGCAGTATAATGTTGATAATCGAACTCAAGCGGCGCCATTTTTTCGTGTTTGGCGCCGCGTTACACCCAGACTCATGAAAAAGCTTTCACCTATAGCTCTCCTATCTTTCGCCGATGGTACAACGTATTCCCTCAAGCGTACATCATAGTAAATCGTCAAATATTATCGATCCAACTCACTTTTCGACCAGCTACATGCGTTGATAAATACGCTTTTACGCATAATATTTTTGAATATCCTGCAACAGGACCTACGTACGTCGATTCCTAGCGCATGCGCAGTAACCTTCGCCAATATTCTTTAGTAAAGCGACTTGTTCTTTGACAACAAAGTATTAGGACTGTTCAGCAAGATCGCAGACAACATTTTACACAATAATTGTGGGTTACTTATGAACATGAAGACTTAGTCCTAGCAGAATAATTAGCAAACGTTAACAATTCGATCAACATGTTGTTTAGGGCCACTCAAACGATTTTATAGGGAAAAAAAAACGACAGCCAACTAATGTACGCTGCTTACTAATTAAACAGTATACGGATAAATCTAAACACCGTACTCATTCAGCTTTCAAAAATAGTGGCTAATTTAGTAGTAGTAGTTCGTATCCCGGGCACTTGCCTGAGAACATGGCTAAAACCAGTTTCGTATAAAATACCTCTTTGGCTACGATGTCCTAGTCAAAGGACTATACCTATATATATATATATATATATATATATATATATATATATATATATATATCTATAAACTCTTGGTTGACATTTTGCGCTCGTTATAAACGTCCATCTCACTATAGAAGAGAGGCTGTGTGCCCGTAGACGAAAGTTACACTTCGTTTCCTTGTCGACCCTGTCAGTGCACGGAACAGAGTTATGCCCATATTCGCTTAATTGATAAATCATTGATATGATCAGGAAAGCTTCTTGTCAATTTATGAACTCCTAAAACGAACAATCGATAAATATTTTATCGATATATAATCTCATAAATTCGCACCGTTAATAATGTATACTATCACATTTATGGAACGCTTTGCTTTGTACCAAAAATCAGAAAGTTTCAAGTCCGTAATGGCGCTAGTACAAAGTAAACGTATCTAGTTCGAGATTTACGCATCCCTAAATTCGGTACGCAGGCACCTTGCTATGACGCATGGCGGGAACGGCTACGTGAACCGTAATATGCAACGTTCATATCAGTCATAACGACATTGTTGCCACCATCTTCCCTAACCTTCAACCATAAAGCTTTACTCTATATCTGGATCGCCATATAACAACGATAAAATTTTCCACAAATTTTGCGTCACCTAGGCCTACCACATGAAAGCATGCTTTTCCATAACAAAACGACTTCTATCTAAAAGGTTTTTGGCTGCTGCTCACTGCACTAGGCAAATCGTTGGAAGAACCAAAAAAAAGCCCTTTTCATATATTGTGCCTTTGTATGGTGTACATTATAAATTATGTCTTATGGAACAAATTAAAAATAGTTCTAAATGCAGCAATAACTTCGAACGACAAATGCCTACAGCTGTGCACGTGGTTCGCAAAGTAGTCAATCCTTAACCAAAACGTGCGTTTAGCTTAGCCAGGTATATAGGTATCTTTCCGAACCTTTTTTCCTTTAACCCTTACTAATTTACTGGGGAAATTGGGGCAATATCGAAAATGTTGGCAATGAAGGAGCCCCTGGCAATGCATACATCCATTGACTAACCTTAGGCGCGAATTGTTGTGACGTCAGGATAATTTTGTGAGGGGTTCCAGTGTTGCCCGTTGTGGGTGCTGCAGCTCCAGCCACAGAGGTCATCTGCGGTGACGAAGGTGGCTCTTGCTTGACCACTTCCTGACGTCCGGTTTGGGTAGCTGTCATCGTCGTCGCGGTCGTCGGATTAGTGAGGATCAGCTGGGGACCTGTTGAGCCTAGCTGTGACGCGCTGATGACAACTTTCGGCGAACCTGTTGCCACGGGCTGTAGCAGAGTTGTGGCGGCGGCCGTGGTGGAACCCGATAGAGCGAGACTGTTCGTGCTAAGGACGACCGGGGTTGTTAGAGGCTGTACCAGGGTGCCCACCTGCTGTACCAGGTGACCTTTGATGAGTTGACCGCCGACGCCCGTCTGTACAACCTGCGTCCCACCGCTGGACTGAATGAGTTTAACGGCCTTCACAGTGTTTGACACGTTTTGAGGAGTGGCAACCCCGGATGACCGGATCTGAATGAGTTTTTGCCCAGCAGCAGCAGCAGCAGCAGAAGCGGCAATACCGCTTGTCCCGGTTTGGCTCGCTGATGATGGTTGGATGACAATCTTTTGTACGGACGAGGTCTGTCCGACAGATGATGCCTGTGGTGAGGCGGGCTTCTGCTGAATATTGACTATTTGTAGCCGACCATCAGGGAGTTTGAGCAATTGCTGTCCAGGCTGAAGACCACGTACGGTAAGCTGCCCATTCGGACCTTGGATTATATGCACCTGACGAAGAGAATAAACATGTGAACGATTATTTATGTGAGTAGACAGGACGTGGTTAAGAAGTACCCATCGCCCAGTAGAGCTAAGCAGGGTTACTATAATAGGCTTACGTCAATAGGTAAGTTGCTGCATTAGCGCAAAAAATCTTGCCATCTACCGCCCATTCCAACGTAAAATTAGAAAAAAGAAGGAAAAAAAAGCATATATATATAAAATCATACAACGTTACCACATGATTAGTAAGGGGTAACATACCTGTGATTTCACCTGAGAACTGCCAGCAGGCCTTACTGTTGGTCTTGCCTGTTGTCCGGCCTGAGTCAGCGTCGGCCTGACCCCGGCACGTATAACGGCGGGCGATCCTGATCGTATCGAAGTTGCTCCGGCAGCACCTTTACTTGATACAATTGTTGCGCCAGCCGGACGGATCACGATCTGTAAAAGCAAACAGACAGCCGCCTCGTAAAATTTTCTCCATTGTAAAATAATGGTAATAACAACTATGACTATCATCATAACAACAACAACAACAACAACAACAAGGGCAATTATTTCGATTTTTTTGACGGATAACCTGGCCTCTAAACTGTTGATGTGTAGCTTGACTTACAAATTTCATATATTTCTAATTTAATAATATTGCACGGGATATGCATGTGTTCAAAGTAACTCAGCTTTGACCCTGGCTTGCACCACACCACAACTGAAATCAGTCGCAATTAATTAAAAATCAGCCCTTGTTGTGGCAGAGGGAACGAAAAAATATAAAAGCGTTAGGGGATTGTGGTGTTAAAAAACAAAAGTTTTACAGAAATTTAATGGAATTAGATGAACATTCGTACCTGTTTAGTGGTGGTGCCTATTGACTGGGTCACCGATCCGCCCGTTGCCGAAGATACTGCAGGAGCGATACGTCGGACCCCAACGTCGCCGACCGTCGTCTGTAGGACTGTGCCCCCAGACGATGCAACCGTGACCACCTTCTTGCCTAAAAAAACGTTTCAAAAGTTTTAATTTTGTATTCGTTTCGATTGTATTAATGACGTACCAAGCCAATATACATATATATATATATATATATATATATATATATATATATATATTATACTTAACTATTACTTATAATTATTATATATACATTATAATACGCCATTGCTTTATCTGATTAAGTTCACATTATGAGTATCTAATACTCTAACATGGATAAATCATATATTTATATTGTAACATCTGTTAAATCGGAACCGGACAATGCACCTAGTGACAAAGGCTTTAGTCGTGGTTCCTTTGATGGCCAGCCATAATATACATATATGTTGCATATTAATTATGACCCTCTAGTTAAGTTGTCTATAAATGTAGTAAATTCATTTTTTTTTTTATTTTATAGATACAACAGATGTTGAATATTATCTATTATAATTATTTAAACTAAAGAAGCTCGTAAGATTCTATGTACCTTGCAGTGCCAGCCGCTGTGCTCGAAGATTAGCTTCCATTTGAGCTCGGATCTCAGCTGGGCTCTTCCCAGCGCCAACTGCAATAAAATCAAAAACAGTTAATTTCCCAATCACTACAAAGAGCACTAATATCTTAACAACAATCTTATTGTTGTTTTTTTTTTTATTCAGAAACAAGAAGCAACCTAATTGAGGATTGAATGTAATAGGCATTAATATGTTACGGTATTATGACCTGTGTCATATACAGTGAAATCAATTCGTAAGCTCTGTAGCCAATTGGAATCCATGACACTCTAGGGTTATGGTAGTAATAGACCTACGACAAAACAAGAGCCAACTTTGATTTTACGTATTTTGAATAAAGGCTCCAATGGTTTCTCGTTGCCAAACTGGATTAATGTTCGCTACTAATACACACCGACTTTGACGCCAACAATATTTGTAGATCCCGATAACGTCGAACTTGCAGAGCTTGTTATTCGGGTCGCTGAGTGGGCTTTGTCCGATAACGATGGTGCCAAAGCCTGGCGGTTACAGAAATTGGGAGTATGTTAGAAATAGGTTACTCGACTGTGTTATTTGGGGTTTGTCTTTATAAATCCGGTACAGATGGACAGACGTTTGCCAAGGTAAACAATGGTCTAGGAGTGTGAGGATTGCGAAATAATGCGTCTCTTTGTAATGTCGGACTACTTTCAGTAGTTTAAACCGAGTTTGTTCTGGCATATTTTGGCTAGATACAGCGTTAAAGAAGCCGATTAGATCATAAAAAACACAAAATGTCTTAAAAATGGAATGCTTATATGAATAAAGACAATAATAATAATAATAATAGACGTAATAATGATAAAACATTACTTTCTCCTGTTGGCGCTCCTTGATTTGCTTTTCGAGTTTCTCCTGGAATATCTTCAGTTCCCAGACTTCAAGCAACTCTTCAGAAGTCCAAACTTCCGTCATCTGGAATTCAAAGCAAAAATAGACCCCATAGCACCTGCTTAGATCTACAATGCATTTCCACAAAAAAATATATTAAAATATGTGCCCTTATCACCAGTACGTTAGGCGCAAATTCACAAGCGAATTCATACCTGCGGTCCCCGGCTCTGTGGTGATTCTGGCCGACGCCTCTCCCTCAGGCCACTACGTTGCGGGGCGGTTTTCTCACGGGGTTTCGACGGGAGATCGATGGGAACGATGATCTTCCTGACAAGGTACTCAGATCGGAGGCCATAGGGAGGCAAGTCTCGACGTCTGACAAGCTCACTTGTCTCGACTTGCGTATCTGTGGTTACGGTGTTCGAGCCACTTGGCGGGGGTTTCGTGACTAAATCATCCCAGCGTAGACAGTGCCACAGCACCCGCAGTTGTAAGGCCACGCACGCGCTACTTGTCCATAAAAACTGAGTATTTCGCCAACGCCACAGAGTTCGAAGGACGGGTCTCGGCGCTGAGCCATAATTCCAAACCTGACTGTTGGACTTTGCACTATAACTAAAGCCCTGTGCCTCGCCCAGGCCGGAACGCCTTGCGAGCTTCCGGTAGTCCCATTTGTCAAGCACAAGCAGCGACTTTCGTCCGCCATTGCCAGTCACAAACTTGTGTATTGGGGGAAGCTCCTTTTTTCTTGGCTTTCTCGGAAGCTGCTGAACCTTCGCGACTGGGAGATTGGCGGTATCGGCAGCACCGCCGCTGACAACGGTGCCGCCACCAGAGTATTGGCGAAGCTTGGTGAGATCGACCTTTTCCCGAGTGTCGGTTAAACGACGCGATGCATGCACCTGAGCAGTAAACATGCGACACAACGGTGAATAGCAAGACGATCGCGTGCTTTCTGTACATGCGTAGCATGACAATCCTGGCGGTAGTATAAGCGGGGCTTCTTCTGAAATGACGCCTGTGTTTCCACCACCCTGAAGTTTGCTTAAACGAACTCTCCTCTCAAGTAGTTTATCCAGTTTTGCAGTTGCTGCAACCCTGTGATAGCAACCAGAAACATACAAAGCCCATGCAGTGTCTATAATTTCGTTTAATTAAAATGTTCATACAGAAGTAAGTCTGACTCTTACATAGTAAGCAGGCACTATGTACCTGCTTATTATGTAAGCCTGCTTCCATTTATTACAATTAGGTAGCGATCTATCTGTGTATACGACGTTCAATAGATATAAGGATTTTTTCAAGACTTACCTGAATCTTCATTAGTTAGCATTACTAGCTTTAGATAGTTATTGATTGGAATGTGACCGTTCGATGAAGGCTGCGAAAGCCTTCTCTTTATTTCGTTTCATGATTCTCGCATAAGTCTAGAGAGTATAGGAATACTCTCTAAAGGTTTATATATATGGTACAAAGCCTTTGCTAACGGTCCTAAAGGACGCCAGACATTATGTTAATCTTAAGGAATTAAGCTATAAGCATTGTAACGATTAAACGAGAGAGAGACGCAGACAATGCTTGCGTACTTACTTGGGGTACAATGATCGGGTTTGATCCATCAAGGCACTGCTTACATCCAGCACATCCTCGATGGTGACTTTGTGTTGGTCGCAGAGTGCACGAATCAGAGCAGGCCGCTTAAGTTCCGCGGTGTTATCCTTCTGCGTTACGGATACCTCCAACTTGGACACGTCAACAATTCGAGGAACAGTTTGACCCGATAAAAATATACTCAGTCGGGTGGGACCCGCTCGCAGACCGCACTCAGACATCGGTTTCGGTCGGCTTACTCGTGTCCGCGCATTCCAGCACCAACCGCCAGTGCCTAGAGAAGTTCCATAAACTAGCAGTTAATAATATATCTAGGCAAGCCATGGGTTCCTGGAGTAACCTAAAGGGATCAGTAAAGTAAGCTAAGAATGTTTTTATTAAATAGGCAAAGGAACTCGATCCTTAAAAGATTTAGCACAAACACACACCCACCTGTTATACGGAACTCCTCGCCTTTTTGCTTCCACACTTGATGTCGCAACCCTAACGTATATTTGCACCAAAGTGATCGGTCGCTGACGTCTTCCCCATCTTCCGTGACGCCTGAATACAACGCCATAAAGCCAGCTATACCACGTCGCTCTTTTTTATCCTGTTTCTTTTTTTCTTCGCGTTCGTTCTGCGTTGATCGCCTCAAAAACGTGTGCCCTAGCGATTCGGACCACGCGGGCACGAACACACATGGCTTCATCACGCTCTCCAAAACCTGAAGAGCAGTCACCATGTCTTTGGTCTTGTTACACTTGTTTAGCGCTTGTACCCACTGCGAGCGGAAGTGCGCCGTCCATTGCGGATGCAAAAGACACCCGCCCAGTTGCGACTCAAGGTGAAGCATTGTTTGACGAAGCAGATTCAAGACTGAGGGGAGATCTGTCACAGAATTTGATTGGCTTCCTAAAATACAACACACAGATTCACAATGGATTAACACAGGATTCATCTCACATCGGTCGATAATTATTTCACAAAGGATACAAAACACTTATTCGAAAAGAAAGTTGCTAAGAGGTTGACCTGCAGCAAAGCATGGATGAAACAAACCTGATGACGTTGAAATCCATTTGAACTCAGAGGCCGGCGTCAACGAAAATTTATGAGAAAGGTGCCTCTTCTTGTCGCGCTCCTCGGCATGTTGATGCCGATTGAGCGCTAGAGTATTGCTGCTGAAGGAGTTGCTATAGTTCCGAAAGTTCGCTTCACTCCCGAGTCGGAAAGACGTTTGGTTAAGAGCGGCTGTTTTACTTCGAGTCTGTACTTCGGCGGATTCCGATTTGACTGTCGCTGTCAGGGATCCGGCCACCTAATAAATGTACATTAAGTTCAATGCGAGTACGACTCGGTTAATCTGAATGTTTCCAGAGCGATCGGAGAAACAATAAGTAAGCTTCTTTTGCGGACACCGGTCCAATTGAATAGATAAAAAAAAAATAACCTCAGTTGTTTAGCTCAATTTTGATTACCTGATCTAGCATTTGTTCCTGTTTGAGCTTCAGACGGGCCTCTACTTCAATACGATTGTCTTCAAGCCAACTTTTGCGACCTGTTTTGTTTGCTGCCGTAGTTAATTCCATTGTCAGGTTCATCTAAAGAGAAATATAGTTTTTTGAACGACATTACGTGGTGATATTATGCTTAAAGAACTGGTAACTTATTGTTCTCAAATTTGAGCAGCCGACGCCTATATGTATATATATAATTTTTATTATATGCCTATCGTTCTGTATGTGAGCTGTGATCGAGAAGGACAAACGACGAGCTTCAGTTGACCCGTTTTTGTCGGACATTTTCTGAATAGCTGTTAGAATATCTGCGGCCAGGCTTTTTGTGAATCCTTTATTGATTGCGTTGGTAAAAAGTCGCTACCTGTCGCTCTACGTCGAGTCGTTGCTCATTAAGAACCCGCACAAGATCGGCCTCGAGATCATCACCATCAAGACAACTCATCAACTCCTCGAGTTGCGCCACTGACGAGTAGTAGAATACTTCGCTATGCTCTTCTCCGTCTGTGTCACCCTCACTGAAATAGAAACTTTGTTTATGGAAGAACGGCACTTCGAACGCGTGCAAGGGTCAGACGAATTAGCTATACTATATCATCACAAAGTGCAGTCCCTTCAACGTTTTTCAAGCTAACGAAACAGGTCATTAGGAGGCGTCAGTCACTGATACGCCTGAACTGTTTTATTTCTCAGTGTAGTACCACCTTGTGACGCTAAAGAAACTTGAAGATGCTCATAAGGCACCTTAAGCCTCCTTTGTGGTCCTAGTGGTTGTAGAAATACACTATTGGCAAAGGAGACTTACGCAATAATTCGACGGACGAGAAACCAGTATTTTCGCCCTTCGCGGTCGTAACCGAGGACGTCCTGTCGAGCCAAAAGTCCGGCTCGTTCAATCTCGCTAACACAATCAGCCACACCCTTGACGGCGTTTCCCCGACAAACAGGGCACACCCAGTCCTCTGATGGCACAGTCTCGAGCGGAGGATCAAGACACGTCAAATGATAAACAGCTGGGCATTGTTCACAGCACAAGAGATCACCCAGTTTATGACATACACTGTTAAGGAGAATAAAATAGAAACATCACATAGATCACACTGTTACGTAAGAGAAAAAACACGGTACGTTTCTCGCAAGCAAGGTACTCTACCCTAAACAGGACCATCTTTTCGCCGGCAAACCACTCCACAATACACATTCAATATCATCGCTCTTCAAATATAACAACAACAGCAACAACAACAATAAGCCAATCATAGCTGGTGCTGATTGTATGATGCTTACCGGCAGTGATCGTCATGCTGCGGTGCACCTTCTCGAGTGGTATCATCCCGCACGGGCGTGATATCTAGAAACTGGCCGGCTAGGAACTGCAGCACAGATAAACGTCTTGAAACGCCCGCGTTCAACGGATATTCGGATTGATAGCAAGGTTCATGGGACGATGGTACAGCCTCGTGATCCGGAGAAAGGCCCAAAAATGAAAGCAAAGCTGGCCGATGTTCACTATAATACGGAGAGGAACACATCGAGGACCCTATGAGTCTGGCTTAAACCAACCACATGATAATGATTCATGAATACCACCGCAGCGAGTATCCGTTATCAGAACGTATTTGACCGACGCAGGTTTTTAAATTGTCTTTAAGTCAATAAAATTAAATCTATTAGTGAATGAAGCTATTTCTGAGTCACACGCGTTGCCCACATGTTGGCAAAGTGTTTTTATTACCGATTTGTTTAGCTGCTAATAGCGAACTTACGCATCGGCTAAAAGATACATTTGCAATGTAGACGGCCACGTCACGTGATCGAGTACATAGAGGTGAATATTAATTGAATCCTTGATATCCTGAGGACCAAAATGAGTATTAACGGCGTCCGCTTCGCGGAGGATAGCTTTGAGGAGGCACATGTGACATTCGCTTAACAATGCCTGTAAAAAAACCATATATAAATAAATCGCAGAACTTTGTTTTTATAACCTTACTGTGAAACAGCGACAGAACTGGGGCATCCAGCGATCATGATCGATTGAATATAGTAACATTATGTTACTGGGATCGTACGTGCCAGGCTCTCGCGGGATTCAATCAGATCACGAATTTGAATATAATATATAATAACGACAATCAATTAGACCTGAGCAAAAACATTAAGCTCGGAAATAGTAATAGGAAACGATTCGGAACATACCGAATGATCTGGTGACATAAGCGCAGCGCAGAATTCTTCAAAAGTAAACGGGGTCATGCGGAGAACATTGCTGAAATGCCGCATCGTCTCATAAACGTCCAGAGCCCGCATTAGATGTTCGCGAGGCATAAGCAGATCATCCGATGATGGAGGTAGTTGAAGAGTTGGCTTTTCACGGTCCTGTCATAAAGAAAACCATTAATGAAACTATTCCATTAAGATAATCACGCGTATCGACATTCGAATTACACTGCCACAATTATAACAATGATTTTTATTAAACCTTATCCTTCGCCGTTGTACCTGAAGAAAAACTGGGGTTGTGGGTCTACGAGGCAATCTACGGCGTTCTTCAGTGCCGCCAGTCGTCCGTTCGCTTTTCTCAATACCTACAACACGATAGAAGAATAAACAGAGTAACGCGTTGCCGCCGATGCTATTAATACACTTCAAAATCTAGTTTCGTATTAAATAATGTTAATGTTAGACTGGCACCTTTGAATCATAAGAACACCATTAGTCACGCTATAACTATGTAGGCGAATAGTTGCGTACGAAAAAGAACGCGTCGCTTCTCGCTCCTAGTTAGGCACAATATTCCAGCCTATCAAGGGACCAGTCACCTTCTTGCAGACAATAAAAATACTTCGGTGCAATTCACTCAATGACACCCTTTCAGGACCTTCCAAAGATAAAATGTTTATCATAACACAACTTTGCAGGAAATGGATTATTACCTTCAACATAATCCTCATCCGAGTCGTGTTCCTCGTGCTCACTCGAGTTCCACGAATCCTCGTCACCTGCGCGCCCATCACCGTTTTCCGACCCGACCCGAGCCTCGATTATACCCAAATCGTCAAGCTATAGAAGGGAATATAAGATAAAGACGGAAGTTAATTAAACGACGTCGACAGTTGTAGCGGTGCATGCAATTTTAAAAGATAACAAGATTACACTGCTCCATAGCAACGAGAACTACTTCAGTGAAACACGCTTCATATGAATGCTTCATTAAACTCTGTTACGTACCTCATTGTCAGACGTGACAGCAGCGTTATTTTCTGACTCGCTGGCACTGTCCCCGATAAACTGCTCTTGTCGGAGACCTTCCCGAAGGCGCTGTCGGTACTGCACAGTGTTAGCATGGCCCCCAGCATAGAGATAGCGCGGCTTCTTGGCGTTTCCGCTACCGCGGCCGCCAGAAGGCGTCTTTGGCGGTCGCCCCCGAACTCGCTGGCGCCCTCTACCCGACATAAGTATGCGGGTTTTCGGCAATCAGCCTAGAGTCAATATGAAAATTTACAAACTGAAAATCATTGCATTTGTCTTGTTGTCGTGATTTTACCTATTAGTTGAATTTTCTAGTGGAATACAGCACAAGGTACGTAATCAGATGATCCTGTAACACAATATTCAGTAGGTTTATGGTTTTTTCAGTCATTCGTCTTTCTGCTCGTAGTACTTTGTTCATAAACAACGATATGTATTGTTGAATGAACAGCAAGCATTCAAGCGTCGATAAACGCAGTGATTTTTCGTCTTTATCTGTACGATATTTTAATGACACTCCTAGACGAAACCTATTCGGGTCAACGAAGTATGGTAAAAAGGACTGCCTGTGTATTTCTACAGATACTTTATACGTTGAGCCCTATATACAATGGATTACAGCTTGTTTGCCACGGGACATTTTTAGTCATAAAGACAACAGCTGACACGAAAACGCAACCGGTCATAATAACTTGTTCCCACCTCTACAGTTCGAGATCAGCTCCGCCGTCAACGTATAAGTCGCTGCGTTGCATACAGTGAAACATAGTAAGTAACTATGTAAGACAGCCCGCTTAAAATTGTATAAGATAAAGTTGTTATCTAGCAATAAATATGCATTCAATCCCATACTATTAAAAAGTCTCTATTAGAAACACCTTTTGTTTGTTGGCTGTCAATAACCCCAATGGAGTCGTATTCAGAAAAACCCCGATATGTAACACGATTTGTTTAAGTTATCGTGTTGTAGAAGGTTGACATGAGTTCGTAAATGAAGTATCTAGATAGAAAACACGAGCTTCACTACGATGATCAAATTTAATAAGCTGTAGTATATAGCACACATTATAAGTCCGTAAACAAATGTATTAAAAATGATTCTCTCTCCTCTCGGAAGCTTCTTTAACAATTCCCCCTTTCCTTTCGCGCGCAATATTGTACGCAGGGCAGGCAACATAAATTACAGCTTAATGTCGAATTTAAATACCATAAAGCCTTGCCATAGAAACAGTTCAGCCAAAGAATAATTATTGTACATCGCCCAAAGACTGTACTAACACAGGACGATGGATCGGATCTTCAAAATGATCGTGGCTTAGCTACCTCAGTCTCGGCGCTTAAAGCAACGAAAAGATCTGTTTCAATGATGACAAATCAGCATTGAACGCGCAAGTGACCTTCCTCTGCGCGGGCGCAAAAACTACCTAAGACAATGTTCTCCGTCTCATTAAGGTCCCGGCCATCTTGATCGTCTTTTCTCGCTGATCTCATATATAATCCATCGATAGCAGTAACATGGTGCGTAACGTTTGATGCAATCATTGGCATGATCTGAAGAAGCCCATGAAATTATCACACTGTAGTTATTCAAATTCGTAAAGCCATAATCGATGATAACATAGAGTTTAGTATGGTAAGTTGTTATAAATGTATGTATTTCAAGTGTTACCTGACAAAAGTGAGAAAATTTATTTGATTGATGGATATTCAATCCGTCTGCTCAACTTGTTTATAAACTAGCGGTGAGTACACGCCATGTGGACAATGTTGTTTCTATAGTTAAAAGAACAGAAAATTTCGGTTCCAAGGGCCAGCTATCACTGCAGACGCCAATAGGGTTCGGGCGGGCTTGTTATAGACATCCTTATGGCATAGTTGTTGTCGACGTACACCTTTCTATTCCCGCTCACAACGACGACACACGCAGAAAGATTGTGGAATATGACATCGGACCGGTCGGAAAATTACTAGCGATTGTTCTAGTAAATTAATACAAAAGTATAGTTAATCTCAGTGAATCCTTTCTTTATGTAAGAATCTGCTAAGAAAAACAGACACATAGAAACACGCAAACACATACACACAAATTCTTACTCCCACAGAAGCGGCAGATATATACCGTGTATTCGGCAGGTCCCAATTCGAGCGGGCTTGTTCAATCATCTGCGCTCCTCAACCCACTCCCCCGCCCGCCTGCCCCCTCCTCTCCTCTCCTCTCAATGGCACTCCAGAGCACTGACTAATGCGGCATTTTACTTACCGTACGGTGGCCTCGAATTTGACAGACCTAATTGTTGAGTGCTTTTAACGAGAGACCAAAGCTCTCTCCAGCAGATTACCGCTGTCGCATGGTGGAGCCCATCGGGCTTCTTGCCGCCGCTTCCAGACACCACCTTTTGAGGGGGCCAGTTGACAAAGCTGAGCACCACCGACAAACGCCTCAGTTCTGTTGAACTCTGCTGCAAAATCACAACACGCACGCCCTTATCAGCCACTCAGAATACCCAAACACAGACAGATACACTTACCATGCATGGCCGCACAAATACATACACAGACAAACACAGCTGAGCTATGTTCGGTTCTAGGGGCTTAGTTTGCGCTGGGTTATAGACAACGCATCGCGATATATACGCCGCTATGAATAATATGAGAATATATATGGATACATGTATATATACACACTATGGACAATAGTTTCTCGGGTGCAGCTAAAGAACTATGGATTTGGTGCTCACAGCTTGGACAGAGCTTGCTACCACTGCAATCAGTGATCGACTCGTTGACGTATTGCAGTAACAGTTAATGATTTCAACAGCGCCAAATCCAACCCGCCGCCGGGTTCGAAACCCGCCGCAGGCGCACTACCGAAGACGTCACATCTACTCTGGGCCCCCACTCAAATCTCGGCGCGTTAGGCGCCAACATCAACTGAAGAGTAACCCCAATACTCTCCTACTGCTAATGGTCCAGACCTGACCGCTGTCAGTGATAAACGGTTTATTAGTATCTGTCCTATCAGCAGATGGGCAGCGTAGATGTTCGACCACTTGTTTTGATAGGCAAATTTCGCACTAAATGCACGACTTCAAATGGTTTTACTTAGTTGAAACCATAAAAAGAACGATTTTCACTAATATTTAACACACGCCAACGACTGAATGATGTCGAGTAGAGCGGTACGGTTAGCGCTTGCCCGTCAACATGGCGGACCTCTGTAACGCCTCGAGGCTAAAGGCATCCCAGTGCTCACCTACCTCAGAACAAAACTGCATTCAGTGAAGATGGCGGTCCTAGTGGTGCTTGTGGCAGAAAGGAATCTAAACGAAGAGGGCAAACCAGTGTAGGACCACGGGAAGAGAGGGGCCATTTCGCGCAGCGCCGGCAGGCGAACTGCACGAATCATAATATCGCTATCTCGAAAAAACAAATTGCTCGTAGACTAGTAGCAGTCGAAGCGATCGCCCCGTCCCTATAACGAGATTGTTTCAATGCGGCAGTAAATGCGTTTCAAAAAAAGACGACCCCATACATATGTCCGCGAGCGTGATAGAGATTCAATCCCTATACCGCGGGAACATTTCAGAAATTCAATTGTTTGCTGAGTGCTATCGTGTGATTTTGTCTCAAGGATCTCGTCTGTTCTAGATATAAATAGGCTTATTCTTGTTCACAATTACAGAAATGTGTACGTGGCAATATGGCAGCAAATGGTAGCTTGCCAGAGATCCGACCCATTATTTGGAGTTATTTTGATTGTTGAATAGATCAAAACCCACGTTGGATACTGGTGTCCCTAAAAAGTATATAAATGGCGTATGTAAGCTTTAGATTCCTGTATATTTACGATATACTTAGGGATTTTCGATAAGCGTAGACATTTGACGCTGTGTATCGATTGGGTTAAGCTTTCACGTATATTAATGCTTAGGGGCGTTTTGAGCGGACTCGATCTGTTTCGAAATCGATAGAGTGGGTGACTTTCAAAAAACAAAAAACTAGTCTGGACCCGGGGATACTTTCATAGATTCTGCTATTTCTACCACGTTTGCTCAATTCAGAAATTGCATTCATCATTTTTCTAGAGTACGGGGATGATTTTCACCCCGGCTTGGTCGAAACGGAACTTATGCCGCGCTGAATACCTCTTTGTATAATAATGTATTTCGAATTTACCTCCGAGAGTGATTTTGATACTTAATAAATCTGTTTTTCTTTAGCGAATTTGTTTTTTTTTTCATTTAGCTATCCTTGGAGTCAGGTAAGGACATGTACCTTGGCGATTTAATTGATCCGTACTAACGTGATTGTCTAGTAGTGCTAGGGACATATGAGGTAGTCTAGGTTCGATGCGTTAGCCCTAGATGCGTTCGTCGTTCGAAACTGAAGGCCACGTATTGAAAAAAAAATGGCTAACAGCCGTATAGAATGTAAGGCTCCAACCATTTAGTTCATCTCTTCGAAGGTCGATCTTTTCTTTAAGATGGACACATCACCTAAACAAACTGCCAGATCCATCGAGCATTATCAAAGTGAGTATTTGGCTCGCGCCATATATCGCTTCGCTCAAATAATGTTGCCATTTATTAACAATTCATGAAATAGTCAAAATAATAAATAAGAGCTACTGTTATGAACAATTTATATGTTATTTTAGTTACTTGTAACTAAGAAAATCTGCTGTTTACTGCCAACGATTAGTAAGTACTCTTTCTGCCAACTAGGAGATTACGTTAGGAGTGTTTAGAAATACTGGCTTTGTGACAAAGTACTTTCGTAACGCAAGCACAGAATGAGAATGCCTAAACACCTTCCATGAGATTTAGCATTGCTTAAAAGACCTGTCAAAATAGGGTCAGTACGAACTATACGGACGGACCGAATAGGAGACCGAATTACTATATTTAGCATTTTTTGCCATGTTTATATTTTTACTGGAAAATCAAAGTACATCTGCGCTCAAAGTTGACCCTAGACCATTTCATGTGGCGTTAAATTTACTAGTTAGTTTAGTAGTAGTTCAATATATTAGCATTGGAACATTACAAAGATGTGAATGATACCCGTAGCCGAAAGATCTGCAGGACCTGTATTGGTCGTTTTACTGCCAAGTTTATGAGGAAAGGATTGATTGCTAGGGATGACACACGCTCCATCGTAGATGAATGTGTCTAACTGATAATGATGAAAGAACGTATCTGCGTGACAGGAAGAACATGCCGATACGTGTTTTTGAGCAAGTTAGATTCTCGTATACATCTAATGATATCAAAACCTTTTTGTATTATACCTCTGTCTTTGGCATTCCACGAGCTCGTTGAATTTCACGCCTTCCGTACCCCCCTTACCCGCTGTGTCAGTAACTATAGAATATAAAAAAACAGCGAGGAAATAGTCTTGTTTTGAATATCGTGAATAATTGTATATTTATTATTGTTTATAATGAGATACATCTTTGAGTACAGCACACCTCTAAACTCTATATCTTCACAGCCCTTCGGCCTGAAACGAAGCTCACCGGCCGATAGGAAAACACTATTTCGCTCAGACACGGTTTTTCTGTCACTTTTTCCCTTCCTTTCCCTAAGTTCCGATTATGTCACCGGCTCGCTGCTCCACTAACTATTTCTATGACTGATTCTTCATCGTTATCACGATAACCGTCATCGTCATCGTCATCGTCATCATCACCATTGTAATCGTCTACATTAACGCCTCTAATCGAGTCAAACCCGATCAATGAATCAATACTGTTCATTAACCAATAAACGCCCCTTGTCGAGACGCTGCGGGCCCCCTTTTGTCATTACAGTCGTCGAACCTGTTCGATTCTTTTTTTGTTTTTGTTTTTTTCGAAATTAGCTCGAATTTAGACAGTTTTCTAATTCCCTATAGTCGTCACAATTCATTTTAATATAGGCGGATTTTTTTAAAATCTATTTGCGCTCTATGTTCGCCTTCTTCTTCCTTGAAAGTTTATGACTTTCTGCCATGTGCTCGTGACCTCTAATATGCTCGTATCGCTTGTATCGTCGTACATTCGTCGATTTTTTTCTATATTTTTGTATCGTCATCACTCATGTTTTTTTTACCACCATCACCACTGGTTCACAATTGTTTGATGATAAATGGCTTATAATCATTCGGGTCAATTTTTCCGAATCGCTGTTAGGATTTTTACTTTCTTAATTGATATTTATCGTTTTATGTATCATACAGTTGTGAGAGGGGTATCAGGCTGATGGGTGGGTCATTCTCTGGAGCGGGAAGGGGGTCGATATAGGGGTTTGGTTAAAGAAAGTTAACATCCTGGCTAAGCAGGCTTATAAGGGCGCCGCATTGACGTTGAGACTTGGCCTCGAGTGAAGGATCATCAGTGAATGAGGATGCTACGAGACGCGGATGATTTGGCGCTGAAGGGATTTTCTAGATGCAAAAAAGGTGCTCCCGCAAAATCTCATAGGACGCTTCCTTCCGAGCTAGCGCACCGGGATTTCGAAAACACGGGAAGATCTTCCAGAGAAATAATTCGCCGGACAAACCTACGCAGCGTAAACTCTTTATATTAATACTCTCAAAATGTGATGTTACTATTTATAAATGATTTCATTCATCAGTTCGTTATGCTGTTTGAGCCTGGTGATCAGAGGGAATGATGCATCATCAGAGGGTTCCGGGTTGCAAGAAGTCGCTAGAGGTGGCCAAGTATGGTAGAGTTTCAGGATGGGTGTCAGGGAGGTAAGCGCGCGCGCGTGATCTTGTGCATCGTATACGTTCGAGTTGTCCGGAGAGGGCGGGCTTACTTTTGTATTTATGAAGGTAATTTTTTCGTGGTTGTATGTCAACGTGTGTCTGTGTGTGTATACTTTCGTTTGACTGTATTTCATATATGTCTAATTAGTATTCGTTCAATGTAATTATTAAGAGTAATCATTGTATTTACATGAGGGAGTTGTCGGGAGATCAGCGGAGCATTGTACCGCATTAGGAGTATGCTTCGCGGGCTCGCGTCCGGCGCCTCTATCGTCCTCTTAGATAACTTTTTCTCGTTACAATCATAACTACTTTCATATTATTCACTCTTTTGTTTTCTGCGGCGTATCTACACACAGCGTATGCTTCCACATAGTGCTCTCTATTTGCGAAGAGCGCACACACACACACACACATATATATATATATATATATATATATATATATAACTTTCATGTAACTTCAGTTCCGTAATTTCGTTTCCTGTTCCTGGTGTTAGGACTCGCTACTTATTACTATCATCATCGATTCAACCTATCCTTGGCGCACCTATCGACCGCCGTTTCGAGCCTTTTTATATTGCAAACTGCACTCGTACATATATGCGTATATATATATATATATATATATATATATATATATATATATATATATATATTGTTTTGTTCTTCCTTTTCTCTTAATATTATTATATCGATATATATTTATACAAAGCGAGATGCTGGCCCGGAGTGTATACTGGTAGAAGGGGTTGACGTGACACAATTGAGAAGTTATTCTATTTGGACCAGTGGAAGCAGAAGAAGAGAATGGAGCCGGACTTTTGGCCGGAGAAAACTTGGTTCTGCTGTCTTCGGGCGAGCGTCTCAAATAAATTAAAATAGTGGCGACTAGAATTATAGCGGCATGACAACGACGGCGCGGTCAAATCTTCGTCTCGATTTTCTGCCTCACAAATGGCTGACGGCTGTGCGCTGTACGAAATTGCAAGCGAACAGAAGATCGCAGTGGCAATCTACGAGATCTGCTTTAACAGGTCGGAAATCGATTTTTGTTCACTTCACTCAGTCGATGATCGACTTCGATATCGTGAAATTGTGCCGCTAAGCCGTTCATTGTGGGGCCCAGAAAGTGTTTGGAAAGTTGAAAAATGCTGAAGTGCGTTCAGGCGTTACGCTTCGCACTGGTACATAGTATTTCATTTTCTTGTAATCATTGGCTGCAGTGATTTTCATTGAAATGGCTTCTCTACGCTCACAGATCAATATGATTCAGCTTATTTGTGTGCTGTTATGGATGGCGGCAAAAAAGTTCTTCGTCGCTGGGGTATCGTGGAAGCATTATGTACTGGGAAGAGCAGCTGTAGCACTCCATCACATAACCGTGTGAGACGTAGATGTTTTCACACCATCGTCGTTGCGGACTCGTATATGGATTTACGCCTATGGTTTACGGGAACGGTAGCAGAGGCGGAACACGTTGGATACCATTGTCATAACATATCCGCGATCCGTTCCGCTGTACTAGCACAGATAACGTTTTCAATGATCATTTTTTCGCGTTGTCGTGTGCTATCATTACGTTTTTGCATCAAATCGGTAATCGTTCATATCATTCTAACAACACCGCGACTTCGTTTCAGTCATCGTTGTGTGTGCATTTGCGGGTGCTTCTAATAACACAGTCAAACCAACCAATCAAATCTGCTTGCTATAGCCGTATTTTACATTTGATTTTATCCTAGACAGAGTTGTTTAACAGTTTCCCTAAAATACTCTGCGCTGCTGGCTAAATACAGAAAAGGTAAACGAATGTTCGAAGATTGGAAAGAAATCCGTTTACGTTCAACCGATAATAGACAGCTATGGACAAAATCGTCTTCCAGCAAAAGCAGGGGGCGGCGGCGGCGGCGGCGGCAGAAGCTTTGGTTGTGCAGACTGGTTACAGATAGGGTGGTGCTGGCGGTGAAGCAGAGTCAGTTAACCATGCTGAGGGCTGGTGTGCCCCCTAGTCTCTTTCCGTCCAACGTCTCGCTGACGCTACATTTGAGATTTCGATTTGCTATTTCCTCCTTCGGTCTCTAGCAATTTTCCTCTTTTTCGATCTTATCTAGCGCGTGGTCTTTGGTGACTTTTATTTCCTTGTTGTTTCTATACTGTCACTTCATTTGACCATGCGGTCGTTTAACTCTGCCGTCGAGCGTTTAGGTGAACTAGCAGCTGCTTACTGCTAATGCTAAACTGACGTGTAGGGTTGATGTAGCCCGTACCTATAAGATAGGCTAGGCTGAATACAAACTAGAGCAGGTTTCGAGTGCTGCTAAGGGAAAACACAGTTCGACATGGATGTACCAACTGGTCAACTATTCCACTAGTTGGAAGCGTTAGTGTTATCAGTAGGTGTCGACGAAGGGGACGGATGTGAGGGTGGCGGTGAGGGCGAGGATGACGCAGGGGTCGGTTGACCCGCGAGGGCGTCCAGCGATCCTACGGCAAGCGGTGAACTGCGCGGCGACGGACTTCCTGCCGAATGGGCGGGACTGCTCGTCGCGTGGTGATGCGCAGCCAATGCGCCGGGCGGATGTGGGGTTGTGGGCAGACCTAGTTGAGCCGCTGGAGACGGGCCATGGCAATGTAGACAATGCAGGCATACACTACAGTGGCCCATCTTTTTGGTGAGGCTCTGGCGTAGCTTTAGGGCGGGGCCCAGTCTCATGCCCATATGTGCCGTCAGATGGTCCTCCGTCAACGCCGAGAGGATGCTCCCGTCGATTAACTGCTCGCGGAACTTCTGCGAACGCCAAAAAGAAACACCGACCGAGTATATTAGCATGTTGGTTTTAGTACAGGCTGCGCTAATTAATATGCGAGTGCATCGTTGGCTCATAAGATGATACAGAAAACTACTACGACTGTTTACTTAAGTGACCACGAACTGTCACACCGTGCCGCGTATAAAATGGCACATACCTCAGCGTACGGTGCGCAGGCATCAATGGCTTGCACGAAACTGACGACCTCGTCGACTGTCCAGCGCGAGACGACCAGGCTCTGGTGCTCCTCATTAGCACAGGCGGACGAACAGCGCGGTGAGCGGGACCGTGGCCTATTGGCCAATAAGCCCACACCCATGGACAAGCCCATCAAAGGGCTCGTGTCCTTGGCTTGGGGACTAGGTGGCGACGAGGAAGGAGAGGCTGGGGATACAGGTGAACGCGAACGCTTCACAGGTGGACCTGACAGTGACAGGTCCAGTGGATCACCTAACAGTAGAAATCGTAAATATTGAGTTTAAATAAAAACGGGTTAGATGATGTGCCTGTCTGAATGGATACGTAGCCATCAAGAATTTTAATTTGTTCTTGTATACATAATACATATCTATACCATATTTCAGCAGCAAAACGATTCTTTGTAAAGCACCGGCCATTTTGTTCGTACCTTCCTGTGTCGAGGACGCAGGCCGTTTGACGGCGCCCTTGAGGTAGGTCTCAAGTTGCGAGCTCTGCGCGTGCGTTCGGACTAGGTTGAGCAGCGTTTGCGATGAAGAAAAATCGGCTAGGTTGAAACCGGCAGCTGGACTGCGCTGTGACGAATGCGGCGAATGCGGCGCTTGGGGGGGTACGTGGGAGTGGGGTGATGATCGCTGGCCCTCGCTGCCGGCTCGAGGAGATAGGTGGGCACCGGTCAGGGGTCGGCCACCGCCCACCGGTGAATCGGGACTTCGCAGCGTAGGCGGCCTCACCGGTGGCGTTGGCGGACTGAACGGCGAACTCGAGTTGAAACTGAAACCAACAGGAAACGGGCGGTTAATCTATTAGTTATCATTCATGTCGCTAGCGAGATAAGGCCAACGTTCGACGTGTAGCTATATCGGCAGGCGGTGCATGTCACATGCTTCTGTTTGCTCTAGAGTAGCTATACTGATCGAAAGCTATTAACAGTTATTATTGTATTCTATTCTTTCAACACACTCAATCATTCAAGGATAATAACGTATATGAAGTCGTTTTAGCCTTGCCTCTCTCCGCAATGATGACGGGTGCATTGGCAGCAGCAGCTAAAACATTGTTGGCGTTGTGTAGTAACTAACATAGTCATAATAGCAGTCGTTCTTGTCCGTTGCGTTTATGCTGTCACTGCTGCTGCCGCGATGACCCCGGGGGGTCAAGACCGCTGCCTTTTATTTCCCCCTTTTCGCCCATTCTCCCCCTTCCTCCAGCTTTTTTCTTCCTTTTTACCTATGTAATTGTGAACGTTCGGTCAATGTTTAATCTACGTTGGAGTTGTCTTTGTCTTCTGGGCTGCAAACGAACAAACGACTCGTCCCCATTGCCCTAGTGGCTTAACAGAGAGTGCAGTGACGCTGATACAACGGTACAGTTATGGTGAACCTGAACGAAGCGTTTTTGCAGACGACTCCGATAGCGTCACTGAATAGCGCCCGTATTGCTTCGGCCCTTCCACACTGCAAACTCTGATTCGCCCCACCCCCTTCTAATAGCGGGCAAAGATCTTTGCCATGACCCCGGCCTCGCCGTAATAGATGCCATGCTATAAGCGATGCCGTTTCCTGAAGGTTGCTTGCCACCGGCGAAAAAGCAGAAGCAGCGGCAAGAGTTAGTGAAAAGAACAAGTAGCTATGAATTGCGGCAGCTGAACTGCCGGTAGCAACATAGACAGAAAAAGCAGCAGAGACAGAAGTAAATTTTTGTCGGAAACGAAGTCAACCCATGTGACAGGCGACCGAAAAGGTGTGCAACAGCCATTCATACCCAGTGCGTTGTTGGCTATCTGTCAGTCCTTTTTGAAGACTTAGAAGCCATCGTCAACCTACTACGAGTCGCACACGCAGAGTCGCAAATAGATGCATACATATTGAGTACTAGACATTTTCATACGGTAGACGTCGTTGTAAACAACATAGCAAATTTGTACGTCCGTATGGCATCGCGACCGATAGCTGTGACTGTGCAGATCTGAGTGGTTTGTTGCCGGTGAACTTGGCTGCTCCTGACGAAAAGAAGGCTGCACAGACCAAAGATGTGGAGTAACGTTGAAAATGTAACGAAAATGTAATGAAAAAGTAACGTTGAAAAGGCAAAAAAATGTCCAGAAGGATTTTCTACCACCTACAGATGCACGATGGAAACTGAAGAACCGACGTTCATGAATATGTGCTTTTGCTGATAGAGTCAAAACAATAATATATGATAAATATTTCTTCTATTTTGCATTACGAGACATACATCCGACAAATTCACTACCGTCGCAGAGGCACAGACATCATTCTATAAATACACTGCAGTGAAACAGCATTCCTACTTTTTGTAGGGTTGACACTTTTCTGCAAAGTATCACCATGCTTATCATCATAAAAAAATGTTATTATTGCGTTTCTAATCTAGGACGTATGAGATCGATCAGGAGCAGAAGCGCGCGTAAGGCCTGCCTTGTGGCTCACGATTCTTTTTACGTAACAAGGGAGACGAAATGAAATCGGTTGTCGCGAGATCACCGCGTAATTGGTCGTTTAATCTCTTGAAGGCGAGCGACTGATGGACTGATGGGCCGAAGTCGACGTCTCGGTACTCGCGTGTTTATGCTAATCATCCCTATCTGTATGACTGAGTCTGCTTTGGTTTTTGTTATTGTTTCTGTCAATCGGCTTGGCCCCGGCGGATCATCAGCTGCTGGCCAGCACTGGTAACAGGATGGCCTGCGAATGTCGTACCACTGCAAGCATCGGTGCAGTTTCTACTAAATACTCATATCTACGTATAACTGTTGTTGATGCTGCTGCTGCTGCTATCGTTGTCGTCGGAACGGCTAAGCTGAAACGGTGCCTGCACATAACAGCTCGAATCCTCAGTGCACGACTTTTGTTGTTGCACGGATAAGTGCTTGTTACAGGGTCGGTTACTATGCGGTTTTGGCGATTGATTCGTTGTTTCTGCATGTCGTCGTCGTCCTCCTTGAAGCGCCTAACCAGCCAGCTAGCTACTTGGCTGTATACATTGTTCGAACGGTACATACTTCTTTGGCTCTTCGTTTTTGAAGCACGCGAGCTCGTGCGATGCGGAGAGGACGTCTTGTAGCGGAGGTCAAGTGGTACAAAGAGATAAGCAATATCATTGATGAAAAACAACGAGAGGACTAGCGATGTTGTTTTGTTTGTCGTGTTCTGTGATGAATCCCGGCAGCGTGATGACAACGCCAACATAAAGACCACAGGCAAACAAATAGCAATAAGGGTGACGTAATGATGGGTAAAGAGTGAGAAGCAAGACCAGCAAATTCCAACGAACAAAGGACAGTCAATGGAACAGAGAAAAAGGAAATGAGTCACTTTGGCAGAAGGATAGTCTGAATCTGCTGAACTCCACTTAGTTTACTTCGCAGCCATCGTTGCTGCCGCAATAACGTGTCCCGGCGTCAGCACCCACCGTCTAGCTAAGGTCACATAGTATGTCTATGTTTCGATAGGACTCGTTGTAGCTCTCAAAGGGCGACACGATAGCGGCGAGGCAGCGACAACAACAACAACAACAACAACAACAACGACGACGGCGACGTCAAGCAGACGTCAAGCAGACGACGTGGGAGAATGCGCGGGAGACGAGAAAAGCGCTCAGGCAAATAGGGAGAGAGGGAGCAGCCCAGCGCCAAAGTCAAGTTAAAGGCTAAAAAGACTCAGCAATAATAGACGTAGGAAGAAGGCAGTCGAGCAAACGCGGGAGCAAAGGGCACAACAACAACAGCAGCAGCAGCAGCAAAATATGAGTGCGACCGTCCGATCATTCGTCCGTCTGTCCATTTGAACGCTCATCCATCCAAAAGCCAGCACATACGCGTCTATGTATCTTATATACTATGAGATGCCGCCGTTGCCACGGCATCGCATTCAACTCACCGCAGTTCATCGTGCCTTGGTCATCATGTCTATGATGTACGGCCTGACCCTGTAGGTCATGACCCTGGCTCACGATCGGCTACTGGTATTTTGCCGCTGTGGCTGCTGCTTACCGGAGCTGGGGAACAACACGACGCCGGCAAAGAGCCGGTAGACAAACTGCTGTTCTTTCTGATGCCGGTGCTCAGCGTCGCTCACTGTCTACGTTGTCTTCAACTGTGTGACTGCTGCTGGTGGCGCGAGAAAGGCCAGAACGGGAGCGCGGTTGCCGCAGTGGCGGCAGAGGGCACCGCGACAGCCACGAAATGTTCAAGGCCCACAGACGCTGCTGATGGCGCCAAGAGATTCGACTGAGTTAGTTCGGCTGGCCCGGTCCAGCTCGTCACCGTTCGGCCCAGCGTCACTAACGAAAGGAAATAGGCTTCAGGGCAGTGCAGCGGCAGCGACAGTAACTACCAGCGGCGACCACCGGCTGTTGTGACTGATAATAAGTGGACTCTATATATCAGGAGTTATTTCCATAGAGTTTCGTCTCTCTATTTTGTTAATGTCGTTTCATATGAGAATACGTCAGAGAAACAAGAGGTCTAACGGCCAGTCGCAACGAGAATGGCAATCTTCCTATTCGGGTTAGCAGCGATAATATTACGCAATAATAACTATATCATTAGTTTTCCCTAGTTCAGCGTTAATAACGTGATAACGTTTCTACTAATTTAAATTTATCCTCAATATCGGCTCCATACGACAGGCCATGCAAGGTCTGCTAATGCACATGCCCAAATATGATTTTAGCTGGTGGACTTAACACGTTGTGGTCATCGAGTTTATATCCGTTCACCTGGACGACGTGACCATATTATAATACCAGCCGTTCGATATAAATCTTTAATCGTTCGTATGACGCTTATCATGATTTGTTTGTTTTGAAAGCAAAAAAGAAATATTCTCGAAGCTCGCTGCTATCTATTGTACGGTCGTCGAACATCACATTATGAAAGGTGTCGAACAGAGATGCAGCGGACCAAAGCAGGTCCGGTATGTCACTCGTTCTGGACCATTGACCATCCAGATTGTCCTCTAGCTGAAGACCAGCCAGCGGTACAGGCCGTAACCGGCTAGGACGACCAAATCGAACGTCGCAAGCGAAGCGTACGGGGAAACGCCAGTACCGGGGTAAATTGCTGGAGCGAAGAATTGGTCAAATCCATGGTTATGAAGATGACCAGCACACAGCTATCGGTCGATTGGCCTTCTTTGACTTCGAATTTAAACGAGAACACAGAATCAGCCTCCTTTTACACACGCGCACACATACACAGGCACAGCGTCTACACGGTAAATGACATGCATCCGCATCCTAGATCCAATAAGGTAGCAATAGAGTAGGACGCTGTCCACCAAATAGCTCAGAACTACACAAAGCGAGCGCTAGATTTCAAGGTAAATTCGGCTGCTACCGCTAGTGCGGCTGCATTATAGCCAGTAGCTGTGCTTGTTACTATCCAAATTGTTTGTACGCCCGCACGTGTGGCGTGGCCATATGGCGAGCGAACAGAGGTCGGATCAATTGAACAGACAATCCCGTGTGAATCTCCGATAGGCTAAAAGTCTCTGCCGTTGCTCCGGAGTGATGCCACAGTCATGATACAGCGCCACTTGCTGTCTACTATATGTATATTAACTACTTCAACTAAGTTCTAGTCGACTAACTACCATCGCTCCCTGCCCCGTATGCTACCTGGGCAAATCTCCGTACTTTTCTGATCTCTTGTTGAAACAAGACGGTATAGACGCTCGTAGAACTCGAGTGGCTGAGTTACTACAGCTGCTATCTGACTGACGGCTCTGAGTATTTCACGTAGTACTCGTAGTAGTACTACAATTTCTATCTCTACGATTATCATCATTGGTGGAATCGTTACGTTAATCAAAGGGGCGCGCACAAGGTAGCGCATACCCAGTCACTCGTAGCAATTCAGGCAACAGTCATCGATTAACGAACTGCATACCCACCCATCCAGCCCGCACGCTATCTATCCTGTACTAGCGTTCAATCTAACACAACCTTACGTAGCACAAAGGTTCAACAGTTATGCGGACTAGGGGCTGGGGCGTGGGGTCGTGCATCGATTTAGCAAATTTGTTGGTCTTTTTCTTCTACCGCTTCCACTAACTAGTATGGCTTCTGTTACTGTTTCTACTATTATATATTGGGAAAACTAGCAAAAACGTGCTCGGATAGAGATGGTAGACGTTACGTATTACGGGTAGATGCGCCGTAAGACACTCGCTATCAGCATAATCATCACTGCCGCCATAAGCTGCAGCAGCAGCAATCATCAGGCAACAATCAGTAGGTGTCTGCCTCTTAAAGACGACGAAAGGAAAGGGAGCGGTGCTCAGCGATAACGTACACACCCCCACACACACACACTTATGAAGATGACCAGCACACAGCTATCGGTCGATTGGCCTTCTTTGACTTCGAATTTAAACGAGAACACAGAATCAGCCTCCTTTTACACACGCGCACACATACACAGGCACAGCGTCTACACGGTAAATGACATGCATCCGCATCCTAGATCCAATAAGGTAGCAATAGAGTAGGACGCTGTCCACCAAATAGCTCAGAACTACACAAAGCGAGCGCTAGATTTCAAGGTAAATTCGGCTGCTACCGCTAGTGCGGCTGCATTATAGCCAGTAGCTGTGCTTGTTACTATCCAAATTGTTTGTACGCCCGCACGTGTGGCGTGGCCATATGGCGAGCGAACAGAGGTCGGATCAATTGAACAGACAATCCCGTGTGAATCTCCGATAGGCTAAAAGTCTCTGCCGTTGCTCCGGAGTGATGCCACAGTCATGATACAGCGCCACTTGCTGTCTACTATATGTATATTAACTACTTCAACTAAGTTCTAGTCGACTAACTACCATCGCTCCCTGCCCCGTATGCTACCTGGGCAAATCTCCGTACTTTTCTGATCTCTTGTTGAAACAAGACGGTATAGACGCTCGTAGAACTCGAGTGGCTGAGTTACTACAGCTGCTATCTGACTGACGGCTCTGAGTATTTCACGTAGTACTCGTAGTAGTACTACAATTTCTATCTCTACGATTATCATCATTGGTGGAATCGTTACGTTAATCAAAGGGGCGCGCACAAGGTAGCGCATACCCAGTCACTCGTAGCAATTCAGGCAACAGTCATCGATTAACGAACTGCATACCCACCCATCCAGCCCGCACGCTATCTATCCTGTACTAGCGTTCAATCTAACACAACCTTACGTAGCACAAAGGTTCAACAGTTATGCGGACTAGGGGCTGGGGCGTGGGGTCGTGCATCGATTTAGCAAATTTGTTGGTCTTTTTCTTCTACCGCTTCCACTAACTAGTATGGCTTCTGTTACTGTTTCTACTATTATATATTGGGAAAACTAGCAAAAACGTGCTCGGATAGAGATGGTAGACGTTACGTATTACGGGTAGATGCGCCGTAAGACACTCGCTATCAGCATAAT